CACTAAGACAATACTGTTGAGCACATTTCTGGTAATCTTACCATTTCAGGCATTTGCTGGCATGGCTATTATTACATTACAGCTGCAAGTAGGTAGTGTAAAGCTCTGAGTTTGTATGCAGTCTACCACTGAGCATGTAATGGCATACACAGTTTTTTTCCTCTGTTATACGTTTTGAAGGAAATATTTACCGTAACGAGTGTAACCCCAATCACACAACTTCCGGGGCTTGATTCATGCAGTCATTTTGGCCCTCACTCGGTTACTTTTTGGCGGAAAACGGCCATTTTTTGCATAAAACAGACGAACTCATGAGGCAATATTCTGGTGGATTCACATTAGTCTGCCGAGAAGTCTATTAATTGAGGCCACAATGGCCATTAAATGCTCTTGTTTGTTAAGCCGTCGTGTGCGAGTTCAGTCTGAGGCTGACTTGAAGAGCGCGTTGCATGCTTGTGAGACTGTTGGTAAAAGTTTGTTAAACTAAGCAAAGCCACGTGTCAGGGGTAGAAACCTCTAATAGGTCACATTTTGGCAAACGACCCTTCTTCATAGCACATCATCTATATGCCATATTTTTTTCCCTTTTAAGGCAGTGTTATTGACGGATGTGTTGATTTTTGTTTGTTATGTGTGCTTGTACACCACTTGTATACCGCTGCCAGTGCAGTGGCCCCAAATAATCTGTCGGGGGGTGGGGGGGGGGTTATGCTATTTCAGTTTCACATCAAAATCAGGAACCGAGTGGCACTGGCAAACAAGTTTGAGAGAACCGCTCGCAACAGCCTCGATGTCTGCTCCCCTACCACCATGCTCTCACCGTGGTGGGCGGTGTGATGGGGCCTTCGCAGTAGCTGGTGCTGAGAGACGCCGCTTCTGCCAAGCATCATTAGAACTTTGTACCGGCGTTAATTAGGATGTAGTGGCCTCAAATACGTGGTGTCGTGATAGGGCGTCATACCAACATCGGCCCTCTGAAGCTGTGCCAGACTTTAAATCCAGTTTGACTGGATAAGATCACCAGAAAAAGCAGTGCCAGTGCGAAAATAAACTATTTTTTCAATTTCTAGGTAAACATTTGAAGTGAAAAAGGTTCCACTCTACAACAAGTGTAATCGTCTTAAGCCTGGCCACAGATTATCTGACAGCTGGAATGTGTGATTTCGCCGTATTCTTATTGGAGGGTACAAAACCTTGAGCAGCGGTAGACTTGCGGTATTTGCCTCCACTCCTGCAGTATATGTATGTACGCTCCCTACAGGTTGCAAATGAAAGAAATACACTGGATTGAGTCAACATGCTATGTCTTTTGGTGATCTAGTCCGAGGATGTTACTAAACAGGAGGTGCTCTATGAATTTGGCAGGAGTTCTAACAAGTGTAAAAAAAAAAATCGGCAGCTGGCATTGCTAATAATACTTTGGCAAAACACTTGCCTATGTGCAGGTGGCACTGGGCTCTTTATTTCTTACTAAACCTAGCACAAAAGACAAAGATCCCCCATATAGCCTTCACAGACTGTTGGGGCAAGCACTGTTAGCGAGCACCTATGAAGGCCAACACGTCACGCGAGGGGGTGAGTGGCCAGCACCACGCCCGATCGCCTTTGTCTCCTCAATGGCGATGTTTACACACACCACACCAGGTACTCCATTTGAGACTGAGTCAACCTAGGGGAGGCCCAGTACCGGTTTAGATAATCGTCAAAGGTGTTCGCCATGAGCGGGAATCAAACCCGGGTGGTCAGGTTTGTGGCGCAGCGTGCTAACAGCGACATTACTGCTTCCCAACATAACACAGGCACACAACTCAATTAATGTCATGCTGACCTGTCTCATGTGGATGTTAATCCGCATGCCCCTTTTGAAAACTGAGGCAAAAAATGTTACACGAGCAGAATATTACATGATTAGCACCTCGAAAAAGGTGCTACGTTTATCGGCTAACAGAATATAGCACATTGGGGTGCTTCCGTTGGGACGGAGGTGGCATTTTGCTGCACCACGTGTGCACTGCACAGTCATTTTTTTGGCTCCTTTTGCTCGCCACGGCAGGATCTTTGAAGCTGTACAGGTGGATGACATTCATTTGAAAGTGGCCTCTTAAATGGGGAATTCGCATAACTGGTTACCAGAGCTTGGCAAAATGGATCATTATTTACATTGGAATTCACATTAATACAAGTTTGAAAACCACAGCGGATATAAACACATTTTAATTCCTGATGAATAGCCAAGATAGAATATTTAATTTTGGTTAGATCATAGTGACTGCATAACACTGCATACCCCTGTGCATTTTCGATGCATTGATGAAAGTTTTGAATCGTTACATTGGATTTTTACTGATTCTAGAAACGTTGAGAAGACCCCAGGGGACTCCCTTTAATGTTGTGCTTGGCAATAGACCTGCCTTTTTTTAAGACACATGGACAAGGAGGGATAAAAAGACAAACATACTGAAAGTAACTTAACATCGCTGAGGTGTGGCTATGAAGAGGCAGAGAGATGTTCCTCTGTGGGGCAGTTTTCTTAATGCATTTTCTACGCTAAAGTCAAGAGCTAAAGTGGTTTCCCGTTCAATTGAGAATGAGGCAGTGCTCAACCGGTGCTCAATTCAACTCATGTTTACAGCCCTTAGCCAGTGGTGGAAATTCTTTATTCTCCACAACCCAAAACTTCGCACTCACTTTGTTGACCCTGAAAGAGATGAATGACCGAGTTGACCCCAACCAGGATCTGAACTCTCAACTTTTTTTTATTTTAACCCACACGCTGTACCACCACTGCACCACCAGGCTGGTGTTTTCTACGTACCAGGCTGCTATATCGTGTATAATACGTTTTTGGTTGCCTTCTGTGCCCCTACCGTATGGCTATTTATCAGCGCTTGTATTGCACTATGCACAGCATGTGAACTGTGAACCACATGAGCAGACATTGGAAGTGTTCACTGTGTTCAAATTGCCACGTAAGCAAGCCGATTTCCGTTTTTAGTCATCGTGTAATGGACTTCCACTGAGCAAAATGTAAACATTTAAACATGGGTTTGGAGGGAATAGTTGGTGCATTGTACACGATGCCGTTTTGGGAAAGTTCCCATCACCAATTTAAACAAATGCTTTCCTGTGTATATTGGCTACATGTCATTTGCAGATATCACTTGCCTTGGTTTTAGCGCAAGTAATAATAACAATAAGTATAATATAATGGGTGCAAAACTCATGCAGTGAGTCGCTAACACAAGTGAGAAGTTGGAATTGACTTGCAATATTGCATTTATTTTATATACATACTATTCATGCATGCGTGTACTCGCACATATGCATATACAGAACCAACAAAGTAATTTTATACATTTTTGGAATGAGAAATTTGGGCCCATTTCCATGTAATTTAAGCCTGCTATTTGCAGTTTACAGTGATCATGGAAATATAGACAAACTAAATAAATAAGGAATGCTTTCATTTAGGGATAGTCGCATTCCCAGTATGACTCTTATAAATAAATAAGGGGACACTTAGCAGGCACGCACATGAGTGTCATTCTAAAAATACGAAACACAGTGCATATCTTCCAGGGAGGTCACATTTCTGCACGAGGTGCATGGCTGCCCTGTGACTAGCACCTGCAACTGCAGCAGTACAGTAGGTGCAGCATCTAATTGTCTTCTTGTTTTTTTACAAGGATATGAAAGTAGAATAAAAATACACATCTGCACACCAGTATGCGTCACTGCTGTGCGCATGCCTGGCCTGTGTCGAGCACTCACTGCCAAAGTTCTGTTGACAGTCACGCTTTTTTTTGTGTCGCTCAAAAATAATTGTCGGAACCCAAGAGAGGGGATGTGCAATAATTCTCGTGTGAGCGTTTAAGGTCACGCTGCTTTTTATATGCTAAAATAATATTGAATGCGTTCTTAATTTTGATTTGCTGGGAAAACCTGCACTTTCGTTTTGATATAATCAAACTTACATAGATACAAACAATGCTCTCCGTTTCGAACCTTGTAGGCGTTTTTTCACAGTTGTGTTCTTGCAGCGCTCCGATGCGTTTTCGGGTTGTGCCATGCGTCCTTCTGCATGATGTCTGACGTTTCGCTCCGTGTGCCGGGATCATCTTCGGGAGCTGATTTCGGCAGTAAAAACATCAGGAACTGATTTGAAGAAGCTCCCGGCGCATGGAGCAAAAGCTCAGACATCGTGCCGAGGTGCATGGCTGCCCTGTGACTAGCACCTGCAACTGCAGCCGTACAGTAGGTGCAGCAATAACACGTGCCATAACCTAAAAGCACATGGCAGAGTTATAATGCTTACTCTTGTGTTATATTTGTTGCTTATTCGTTTTTACAATCTTTCACTCTATTCAGTCTTAACTCAAGATAAGACTTTCAAGATGTTTCAGACAGCTGTAATCTTACCAGTTCTTTTTCAACTTGTCACAGGAAACTTATAACATAACATGTGTGTGGGCCCAATTTGTGCAGAGTTTGTTTAAACACTTTTGCATTCATTGCTAATGAAGGAAATCCTGCAAAAGTGATTCCGCCCAATTGATGTTGTGGTTTTTGGCCCATTTTGTTTTGCGAGGAATAGCTTCCATGTATTCAGCAAGGCAAAATATTACGTAGTGCATCAGTAGCCTGGGGAGTGCCAACGCGAATTGGGGCTGATGCCATGCAAACAGATGAAATACCATTTCTAAAGTTTGTCTAAAATGGCACAATCACTGAGATGCATTCATCACCGGATTTAAGAGTACATCTTTCCCTAATCCCAAGTGTACATTCAGACTGCTTGCCACTAAAATATACCCATTTCTAACCCAGCGTGACAACAGCTATGTGGAAACAAACCCGCGTGCAAAATAATGAAGGAAAATGCTTGAGTGTGGTGAAAATGAAATTTACCCCTGCAGTCCCAGCATATCTGGGGAGTCCAAAGGACATGGCCGCTGCAGGTTGCCTCTAATTATTTTTGCGTAAATGCTTTGATTTGACAGGCGAGCAGCCCCACGTCGCTGACTGTCCCACGCAGTGCCTCTCGCGCATCTGTCAGCCCTTCCAACCAGGACATCTGCAGGTGAGCCAATGGGTCTGTTCACACACCCAGGGAAACAACATTGTGGTAAATCCAACATTGGAAAAGTTACAAAAAAGTCACTCAGTTGGGATTATGCATAGGAATCATCACCCCCCTAATGGCAGACTAATTCCTGCTTGCAGGTCATGTGTTGAGTCACCCGGTGCTACGCAGGGACAGCTGCCATTGTGGAGGGTACCCTTTCAAATGATTTTTATGAGATCTGAATGCAGTCGCTTTTTGCATTTAAAGTGCCCTGTTTTGATTATTGAGTTGTAGCCAGTTGTTTGTTAACAAAGCCACCCAAAAGTTTCTTGGATAATTGTATATTAATGTTGGCATGCCTGGGAGCAATTATTATTTTTGATTTATGATAAGTCTGCCAATACATGCATGTATGGACCTGTGGAGCATTTTACCTGCAATTGAAACAGGCTGTTGGTATGAATTTATTCATACTGATGCATTCTTGGAGCCAGATTTGGATGCAATTTTGCCCTACGGTGATGCATTACTTATGGCCTTGCTTGCCTATTAGAGCCAGCATTAGTGATACAGGCATATAATCTTTGGGGAGAGGTCTTTTCAGATCTCACATACCAGCATGTGACACGAGCAAATTAAATAACAGTGTTTTAATTTGAATGTGCCAAATAGTACATTATGCATGCGGCTAACAAAATTTCCCCTGGTGTTACATAGCCTCACAAGAAAAGTGCTATCGGCCAACATTTATGCGTGGAATCCACCATTTATATATTTGCCCAGGGGTTATGTTAGCAAGGGCACATTGGGATGCCCTACTGGGAAAGTGTACAAGGAAATATAATAATTAAAAGGAATTCATGACCTAATTTACATCTCACAAGAGGCCCATCGTGATGGATGTATAATTACTGGCAGCAGCAAACCTGAACCGTGAATACTGCATAGTCCCTTGATTTAGTAGACGATGCCAATGATTGGAGTATATTTAGCAGCTGAATGGATAACTCGCGTTGTAAGGCAACAGTATAAACAGCGAAGCCTAGGCTTTGAAAGTAGCTGTTGTGTACCCACATGCCTTTTTTTACACCGGCTTTGCAAAAGTAGGTGATTTTATCACACAGCATTTCACTACATTACATTTTAACTGCATCCCATGTTATTCATAACGTTGGCTAACATTTAGAAACCTCCTTACGATTAAGTAGTAAGTTGACACACTCAATATGAATGCTTTAAGTCACGACTTGCACCTCACGGCACTTTAATTGAGCTGTTTTAAGTAAAATAAATGTCAGGCGCCATGAATCTGTACCAATCTACTTGTCATATGGAGTGGTGGCACAGTGGTTAGTATACCATGAATCTGGAATCCTGAGCGCGATATATGGCAATGGCCAACATCAGTGGTGAGTGATACATGTACCCATCCCGGACGCCGTCATCAACCTGTACTGACCAACGTGGTGAAATATGGTCAAACAACTGCCATGACTGAAAGGCTTTCAGGAGACTATCCAGCGGTGTATTTACACAGCTGCATATTATGTTCCTTTTTTTTTATAATTTATATTATTATAAAAAGCCCCAACATTCACCCTTCGAATTATTTGTGGCTCAGAGCGCAGATGTTGGAGGTAATTAAATGTTAAGTACAGTTCAAAGTTATTGTCCGAGTCATTTTAAAAAGGGGTTGCATGCCATTTACTGAGATATAAATGTTCTACACATGTACTGGTTTTAGAGGAATTTAATGGACATTAAGCAGTAGTAATCGGTGCATTTGAATTCTGCATTAGTAATACCTAAAGACATACTGTGGAGACCTGAATTAATATGCGTAATGCTAAAAAAAAGTTTCAATATTAGCTGCTGAATGGTTTGTGTCAATTTATGGATTTTCATACCCGATGAAATAAGTACTGGAGCATTTGTATTTAATAATATTTCACGGGACCCGAAGAAAGTGATTGAATATTAATGCCAACACCAGATAAATATAAATCGAGCTCTTAGGGTTAGGCTCAGGGGAAAGAAGGAGAACAGTTGATATTCTCGTATTCCCTTGGTCGGCATTGGTTCTGGTGCGAGGTGGTTTGTATAATCCAGCCCAGTGCAGGTGTGTTTTTCACATCACAGGATTGTAAGCGATGGCAGCGTCTTGGTGAAATATTCATCCTGCAGTGGTTTGCTTACGACGGATGATGATTACATTTGTTCTAAAGTGCAAATGGACTGGTGGAGTAAAAATGTGACGACACATCGTGACTTGCCGTTGCCTCATTGAAAGTGGAAGGTGCCTTCTCGATGGCGATAAATAGTGGGTTGATATGTGGTGGTGAAACTCAAAGCACGGCCGATCACTTGGAGGTAGACCTAACAGAAAATACTGGCAAGGACACTTGAAGGCAATGTCATTCCCAACACTTATTTTCTACCTTAATTTCCTTATTCAGTGTATAAATGTATTAAGGACCACCTAAGAATGGCAAGCATTAAAATTTCAACACTGGAAGAGGATTGCAGGTGGTATTTAATTATTCTCATGGATCAACAGGTGTTTTAAAATAGGTTATACATGTCTTTAACTCGTTTTTAATGTTCATTCAAAATAAAACAAGACGAAAAAGACAGTTATCGATGAATGTCCATTCTCTCACCACCACTGAATCTGCAATCTCATTTTGGGAAAACATGTACTTGCTGTGGACTTTTACAATTTTCCTACTGCAGACCTTGCCAATGCATTTTGACTGTAATGCAAGTGGTCTTGCGCCGAAGCCAACCTCTGATAATTATAAATAATCTCTGCTGACCACACCCGATATGTGGAAAATTTAGAAGAAATCCTTAGGCGCTTCACCCTGTCTCCTTAAATTAGCGCGGGGTAGCTGTCTCCAGTGAGCGCTCATTTGCATATTGATGCGCGGTTGTCTTCCATTTCACCGTGCTGCCTGCCTGCCGTCTTTATCCAATTATTTTTCCCTTCAGTTTTTAGCTTTCTCGATTTCACAACAAGCGCTTCTCTCTATCGCTGAAGACCGCATTGTCATTTGCTGTTCCAACTGTACAGCTTTGCATGCACCTTACATAAATAATGTATCGCTGCTGCCAACAGCACTAATGGAAATCTGAAATAAACAGCGTCTTACATTTACAGAATTTCAATCATCTGTGGATTGACATTGAAAACTCTGAGCCTTTTTTTGTATTTGTTTGAAATCTTCCGCACATCTTTTGCTCGGTCCTTTAATATCTTACTTTTTAACATTCAGTAAATAATTTTATTGCCCAAAATGGTTGTTTGTTAAATAGCTGCATTTTTTTAGGTTACAAACTGAAATAGAAAAAAGCTACGTAAGTTTTGACAACATCTAATATTTTATCGTCCATACCTGTACACCATTGCGTAATTGAAAATGCTGTACTGACAATACTGCAACATTGTTGCGTAAAAAATGTAACTCCACTTAGCAGCTTGGAATAGGCGATCAGAAGTCGCATGTAGTAGTGTAATATGTGGGCATTACCACATCTTCTGAGACGTCTGGCACATATGGAAGAGGCCAAATACCCTCTACATGAGCCCTCTAGAGCGTCCTTTAGTGGAGGTTCTTTCACCAAATTGGCATGACCAAGCATTAGTCGTCTTGCACCTTTATCATTTTACTTTAAGACAATTCCTACCGACAGTTGTGAAAATTATCATCTCTGAGTTAGCAATAACATTTGGCAAAACATTGTTTCATTTTGTGTAGAATGGAATGGATTTCTATTGTCCCTAGTCATTATTCTCCATTACTTTTCTTTCTTTTTTAACTTTCTTATTTTTTTGTTCTCCTATCTTTTTTTTCCCCTCCATCTTCTTCTCCTGCTCCATGTGTGATCGTGTGCAGATGAAGTGGGTTTATATGCAGGAAAAGTCATGCAGTCTCAGGCCATTTTCCCAGCGAACGCTGTGATGCAAAAACCAAAAGCTTCAAAAAAGAAGCAAAAGGAGAGTGTTGAGATGGTAAATGTTAGAAGCAGTTCTAAAACGACATCGGAGTGTCGCAGTGACACCCGCAAGCAGTCTCCTGCATTCATCTCAGAAACCTCACTGTGTGCAAATGGCAACGCTTTAGAAACATCAAAGCGTTCTCGCCAAAAGAAGTCAGAGGAAAAGGACAAAAAGCCACAGGTACGCAAATCCTCCGGGCAAAGCGCATTGCCACAAATTGCAAAAGGGGACAAACGGCAGAAAGCAGATCGGCAGCGGGCGGCCGTCGGGGGTTTCTGCGACTCCTCAACGTCGTCCTCCTGCGATCACGAGCCGAAGAGGTCGTCCAGAGAGACGCGGAGGAAACGGCCGAGCTCTCAGCGGGGCAGCGGAACGTCCTCGGAGCGTGGCACACAGACGAGCGTGGTCATTCGGGAAACCCCCGTGCGGCCCGTCATCAAACGTCCGGTGGCCGGGGCGTCGCCCGTCTCGGCAGGCACCCGCAGTGGGTCGAGCAGCCTGTTTCACGCAAGCAGAGCCAACTCGCATCAACGCATCACGCACGTGGAACCAATCCAAGTGAAGCCGGCTGCCACCTTGCGTAAGCAGTCCTCAATGCTGACGCTAGAGAGCTTGGACTCGGAGTCGTCAGAATCTCACGGTGTCGAAGATGACTGCGCGAACACGGCTTTAAATGCTGCGGCAAATAGGGCAACGTACCGAGACGCAAAGATAGGGTGTGTTACTCAGCCACGCGGCAGTGAGGCTAAACAATTACAGATCACTCCAAAAAACATCCGGCGTAGCAGCAACAGCAGTGATGATGATGATGACGACGATAGCGAAGACGACAATGGCAGTGAATATGAAGGGAAACGCAGCAGTGACGATGATGTTTATGAAGAAACGCCTGCGATGGGGGTGCAAAGGAGGAAGCAGAGAAAAGCTGTTGCTGCCAAGGTCTCCGAGCATTACGACGTGTCGAGCGGCAACTCCTTGACAAGTGGTCACTCGTTTCAACCGAGCATCAGGAGGAAGTCCTCCACTGCCAGCTCTGGAGATCTGTGCAGGTCAGGAGTTTTTCTCAGGATTTGTAAGCCATTAGGTCTTCCGGGCTCACATACACAAGGAGCCTTTGCCAGTAGACTCGGAAGGGAAAGAACAGCTGAGAATCGGGATATTTTACGGCCGCGCTGGGTGTCGACGTGAAGTGATTGTTATTGTTCACAAGTTTTGGGGGGTTGGAGAGAAAAAAGCCACGAGTGTTTTTGGCTCATCCTCTCCTGTTCTCAAAAAACATCCTGTGTGAGATGGTGACGCACTGTAAATGCGTGTAGTCATTTCGCCTCGGTCCAAAGGATTTGTAGGGAAACCTGAACACGATGATCCATCACGCATTTTTTTGGTTTTGACATTTAAAAACTATTGTTCGCTGTTCCACTGGACAGGTTTATGTGCATAATGTATCCAAGTTCTGTCAATAAACTGCGAGGTTATCAAACTTGACACTCTGTAGTATTTTCCCATAGTTTCATGTTTTGCAGTCGGTTATGGCCTTTATATGAATAGACATAAACACGAAGGAAGAGGTTACTAAGTTTTTCATGTTTTATAGTCCTCTTAAATTTTTACCAAGTTGACCCATGCAAATGTGTGCGATATCTTCCACCTGCTCATACATTTATAAAAACCCTCCCCTCCCATGTAAAAAGCAGTGGCATATAAAGGTACATTAATGCATGAATCGAATATTCTTATCACACTCATGATACATGTGTCCAATATATCTAAGAATATATTTGGAATAATGTCCATTCGTATATACTTTTCATGAATAGTGTTTCACATGCACTTTGCGGCCACGGTGTATTCTACTTGCAGCACAATGGCAAAGAAAGAGAATGGCTTTTTGAATCAAATCGCAAATCCACATTCTGACAATCGGATCACGATGGGGGTGAATCGTGACATGCCTAGCGGATACTGATCAGGAAATGGGTGCAGTTACGAGTGCAGATTCACAATGTTTGCCACAGAAAAAGATTGCCCAACAACACTTCACTAAGGCTTATATTAGATTTAGTTAATAAGAAGCAAAGCGAAGAGTAAAGTTGAAAAGCACTGCCTTATGCTGGCCAGTCACCCAAGCCACCCTTTGTTAATAAAACCTCCACGGATCTGAGAGTAATTGGGACCACGCTTGTGAGAAATGCAGGGACATACTTATCAATGGGGCCCTATGCTTTGCCCAGGATGCTCAGAACAGTTACATGTAAACATGTACATCCGTGGTGACAGGAATCTATAATACAGCCTAGGAGTTTTTTTTGCCCGTAAGCCAGTGTTTTTTATTAGTCTTTCCATTAAATGGCTACAGAAAATCTGGAAACAATCCAAACAGGTTTCCCTGCCAAGATATATGAATTTATTTTCTCAGAAAACCTTTGCTTGACCTCTTGCATGTAACAGAACTGTGGCTCCTCCTGTGTCTGCTACATTTCCTGTGGCTTGTTATTCACAATCCCTAGCTTTGCCTTGTATGGCTTCTTGCATTTGTCAATGCAGTGACATTCTAAGCTTCATTTCTCATGTGGCACTCAAATAAAGAGATATCATAATCGTCGTACTATTTGGGTGGCCAACTTGGAATGTATAACTACAAGATGTTGAAATCAGCTTACTATGCAAAATCATAATAATTAATTAAGAATAGTTAGATTTCGGCAAAATAAATACCTTACTTTGTCATATGGAGAGACTGGCATCTGCCACAGTCATGTGGAATGTGCGTCATTAGTTTACAGCTGCCACTGAAGACGAGCTGTGTGCCACAACGCCAGGGAGACACTTTGACTTTGAATCAAGTTTTACTTTTTATGCATGCGACATTGTCAAAAATTAAAGTGGCCTTCACTCAACCACGCCACGAATAACAGTAGGGCCCGTTCTTGAAACCAATGTCACGGGACATGCTGTATTAGAAAGTGGATAAGACAGCCAGTGTAGCTTTTGATGAGCAGTGCCCAAGTTTAAGCCTGCTCCAATGCAGCTCATCATTTTCTCTGCTGACTTGGGCTTGGCATTAAAACATATCATTTTGCTTAAACAGTTGTGCGTAGACTAACCTGAAATAATTATCAGTCAAATATAGCTATGACTTACAACTGTGATTGAAACACAATGTTTATTCTTTTATAAAAAATTCTACAAATATTCTCACCACAGCAGATGATTATTTATACAGTTCAGTTTGAACATGTTGAATTTATTAAATGTATGTATATTTAACTTATTTGCACCATACGTAGCCAACCGTGCTAATCGTAAGTGCGAAATAACAAAGCAGTGATAGTAAACATTTGAGCTGGGAACATTTTGCACCGATTTGCATGTACGGAAAACTTTCGTTGCCACCAAAAGAAAAATACACGATATCGATTAAGACTATTATTATCATCCCCACGTCATGAAGTCGAGGGTTGACTTTTAAAGCAAAGCCACGTTTCCCAGGCAAGACTCGAGGCAATTTGACTGACACGCTTTATCCAAAGCAAACGTCTTGTTAATTTCCTTCCTTGTTTCTCATGAGTGTTTTACAGAATGCCATGACCCCACATTTTAAATCGGCAAATGCTTTGTTTAAAAAAAAATGTGTACCTTGATGAACGTGAGTGGCGTGTATCACTTAAGCCTGAAAATATTGGATCCATCCAGAGTTCAGAGGCTTACAGGTTTGCAAGTATCGTGATTGCAGTAAATAGCTGTGAAATCACATACAAAGCTGAAGTTCTCAGCCACTCTGAGACAATGATGATAAAATTAGGAGGAAAAGACAATGACGAGATTTTGTAGGAAGAGGTTCAGAAAAACAAGATTAAATTGAGTCAGCATTTCAGTATTCACCGCAGAGTAATAATCAATAATGCCTAATATTGCAGGCCACAATAAATTAGTCTGTGAGAATAATTTGGAGTGCATGTCTGGAATGTTTGTGGACTGCCTGTATATACTTGTGCTGATAGCATCCATGCATTAATGCAACCCTGCATGCATCCTTATCTCTCAATGTTTTTTTGTAGTTTTTTTTCTCCCAATTTGCATGTCCATCAATACCCATTCACGCTTCTCTATATTCGTCATCTTTCTATGGTCCATCCATTTATCTGTTCCTTCCGTCCATCTATTATTGTTTCATATCTATGTCTATCCATTTGTCAACCGTACTGTCCCGGGCATTTATTTATCTTCATCCGTCAGTCTTCATGTCTGCCCACACAGCTTCCTTATCAGTTCAGCTGTCAATCCACCTGTCGGGTTTTATCTAACAGTTCATTCACCTGTGCGTCTGTTCTATTTATTATTTATTCATGTAGCTATTACATGATCTCAAATAGAACTTGTTCCCATTATATTGCATGGACCTTGTTGACATGAAGGCTGTCTTGGGGGGAACTTTAGCTTCCTATGATATCCTTTTGACATTAATGAAAATACAGTAAGCTAACCTTCAAGCAAAGAGCCAGATAGACCCACGTCCTTCCTACGTGATGGCATGCTCTCAGACTTTTTATTCCCGGCAGAACCACAAATGCTTGAGATGGATTTCTAACTGTTAAGCCTCGGGGTGGAGGCATGATGGCGACCAGTTTATACGACCGAATCTTTGTTAATTCATTCAAAAAAAGTTAACAAACGTAATATATTGTTCATGCTTCAGTGTTATAGTGTCGGCTTATATATACGAGGGCTGTTTGAAGCTTCCTTTAAACGTGTCTTGATGAAAGTGTCAAAGTGACGGTGTCTTAGTCATGAAGCCTTTGCCAATGGAGGCTTTCACAGAGAGGTGTTCTCTGAATGTTGACCTTGCCACCCCTAATGATTGATACATTTATTTATCCAGGTCAGAAACCATTTGGATTTTCGATCTTTTTCGTTACATAAACCTAAGCAATGGTTATATAAAAAAAAAAATCAGTTCACAATTTTGACCAAATGTCATGGGTTAATTTAAAAGTAGCATTATGGGGTCAGTGGTAACATATACAGCATCGAAAACAATGGCACGGGTCTTAAACATCCTGAGATGTCCCGCCTATAGCAAATGGGGATACTTTGGCAATGCCTTAAAAAAAGGAGCAGATGGCTGCAGGAATATAGGAGCTGACTTTGAGCAAATTCTTTCAGCGGTGGGCATACTCCCCAAAGCTATTTAAATGCCTGCTCAAAATTCCCTGGCTAAATCGTCAAAACGAATTCACCTGTTCATGCATTTATTCATTTAATTACTTTGTAGACTCAGGTTATGGTATGTTCTGATGAAATTAGTCAGCCTTGACATAATTCCCAAAAGAGAACTTTGTTTGATTGCTTAACTTAAATAATTTGTAGCAATGGTCTGGTAAAGCACAGCCAAACCGTCACCATGATGCTGGCATACAATGGCCTTTCTTCAAGCAAGCTTCTGTAATTCCCTGAGGCTAGCTCAACACACACACAAACATGCATCATCACTGGGGCTCAGAAGTGTGCTGAAAGCAGTGGACCTTGGACTTTGAGGTGAGTGCATGCCACCTGAGATGCAGCAGGGGAGGAGCTCATGGCTGTTTCACTGCGTGAGTACACGGCAGTGAAGAGATGTTTTCGCCCATCGCCCAACGCTTTGCCGTCGCTTGTGTTGGACGCCATGCATATCTGCATTGGAGGGAATCTTGCAGAAACAAATACCCACGAGAATACATGACTCCCACCAGAATACGTGTACGGGACACCGTGTAGCGTGTACGTTCTGCCATGAGGCGATGTGTGGCTGGCACAGTGGCACTGGTGAGAGCACATCCTTTGGAGTGAACATCAAGTGAAAATCAATTGTCACTGCTGCGTTTTCAATCGCGCGTGCTCTATGTATTTATTGCCACGCTTATTCCATCGAATGGATTATCATTGGCTTGTGGAGTTGATACAGTGAAGCTTCTCTTCTATCAGTTTTCAAGTGGTGTGGTGTTTCTGTTTACTCATAATTAAACTCACAGATAACAGTTGTCGAACATTGCACCTCTCCTGGCCTTGACATTCGTTGAAGACACTGGTATAGCCATTGACCAATCAGAAAATTAACACCGATGTGCACATCTCCTTCATCAATGAAAATCAAAGACAGGCCACAATGCGAATGCGCATTTCGGCCCTGAACATATTGCCATCCTCACGAGCAATTTTTTTAATCTGTGAAAATAACTCTGTTTATCTGTGATATTTTGAATATATTAAGAAATGAAGAATTGGTATAGCGTCAATGTCCCTCAACTGGTGCTTTCATAGATACAACAGTACCAAAGGTCAAGTATTTGATCATACTTCACCGCGCTGGTCAGTGCGAGTTGCTAAAGGCAGGGAACGTAGGCAACACAGCATATTTTACTGCGCTGTCCTCCGCTTACCGTGTAGCCTGACCCCAGCCTGCACATTTTATGCCTGGTGGCTGCCCATCCAAACACTATTGCTGAGCTCATATGCGTTGCAAATGGGGCATATTCCAGGTGATTGTTCATAGGCGCCTAGGCATCCTCTCATCCACAGGAAATTGGAAATCTTTTTTAATGAGATAAAAACCAGGTGCTCCTAATCGCCCCTATTTGTCCACTGCAGTCGGTTGCATTGCAGCCTCCCTGTCAGGGCTGTGACACCCATTGATAAATCAAACCCCACTTACCCATGGAACCCAATACTTGTACAAGGATGCAGTTATAGGATGAATTTACCACCTGCCACAATCACTTCTGGGTAATTGCTCTTGTGCGAATTAGAAGAATCAAGCCGTAGATAATGGGAATTTTCACAGATTTATTTGGACCGCAGATAGACATTCTGGATAAAATGGTCACCTACAGGAAGAGTTTAACTGCGTTGTTTAAGCGCTAATGCTTTTAGTTGTTTCATTTTAGAGACATTCAATTTTTTTGTTCTTATGATAGCCATCCTTAGGCATTAAAAGACAGTGAATAACTGACTCATGATGATGCTGAATAAGAATGGAACCATTATGCAGCTGAAACATTTCCATTGCTGTATTGATTTTTGATGACTGCTTTTATTAGCTGAAGTCTATTGAGGGCTGTGTTAACAACGTGCACTATGAGCAGGTGAGACACAGCGTTGACAGCATTATAGATGGTGTTTGCCAACTCCTTTGTTGTGCACGGCTAGCAATGCAAATGAACATAAGCCTACTGCCCTATTTGCTCGTTGATATCGCACACCCCCATTATAATGTGCTACAGTGAGCTATTGTATACTGCAGCCAATGCAGCCGCTCCCATTCCTTCTATTAAAATATAAAATATCTATGCTGTGCGATAATTCTCAGTGCTTTCTAGACTGTAAAGTTTGAACAAATTAATCAAGGCTCGCCATACCTTGTGACACTTGAGTTTAATGCAACGCCTTGTTCAGGTTTTCCCCAATCCTCACTTCACTTTTATCAAAATTGGTGCAATTCACAAAACATATACTTTGTTACCTATGCAGCGACCGGTGTGCTTTGTGTGACAATTTTGGGTGGGGTGAGTATTCTGTTATTGCACATGGAGTACATTCCTGTATAACAAAGGTGACATGAGAATTAGAGTTACTGAGAATGCGTGCCTACATTATATACCATTCGCAGATGAGAATGCAGTATACATGTGCACGGCCATGATTTGACAATTCATTATACTATTCAAAAGCTACACAGCCATAGCCTATTGAGCAAAATGATGGCATGCTCCAATATCAAGGACATTGAGGCAATCAGGATTGACGTATATGATATTGTATAGCTTAATCAGTAGTTCGCATAGAAACATTCAACCCATTGGTAAGTTTATTACTCGTCGTGATCCAGGATAACAATTATAATAATTATTTTTACATTGTTTGGCACTGTAGCACTTCTTGTGACTGCAGGGGTGAATCGATTGCAATACAGCAAAATGCTAATCATACTCCAATAATCCTCAAGTCTCTGAAATTAGCGGATTACCCATGGTTGGTGACTCCTCCCGTAATCCGTGGGACAACTGATCCTGAAATGATGGATTTCTGGATCACTTCCGGGAGGGACTAATCCCTGCCATATAGTGGGGTATACTGCATCGGCAGCATCTGCTGATTATTAGAATTTTAAAAATAATTTTCTTAAAAGCGCTGAGCATTGCAAAGAGGCTGCCGGTCAGTGGTTAGTGGCACTGCTCTGTAACCGCAGCGACCTGAGCTTGCTTACTGGCCAGGGCCAATATTGGTGATGCATATTTGAATTGGTCCCAGGCCTCTTCGAGGTTGACCCAGTCCAACATGCGTACCCACAGTACGTTGTGTAAACATCTTAACTGGGGAGACCAGGTTTGCCTGGAATGATGCTGGTCGCCACCCACCTCCCCATCCGTGAGCTGTGCTGGCCCTCATAGGTGCTCGTTAACAGAAATTACCCCAACAGTCTGTTAAGTATATACAGGGGACATTTGTCTTTGTTATTGCGCCATTCCCGCCTTGAATTATTCTTCACCAACAGAGGTGGGGGGGGGGGGGTCTTCTCTCCACCTACTCACATTTCGCTGCTGTGCCCGTGTTGCGCCAGGATCTGCCACTGCGAGGGTGAGGAGGAGAACGTGCTCATCACGCCGTGCCACTGCACGGGCTCGCTACGCTTCGTGCACCAGAGCTGCCTCCAGCAGTGGATCAAGAGCTCGGACACTCGCTGCTGCGAGCTGTGCAAGTATGACTTCATCATGGAGAGCAAACTCAAGCCCCTGCGCAAGGTGTGTGCCACTTGGCTTCGGCTCGGTCCCAACGAGGGCGATCCGCCTTTGTTAACTCATTCAGGGACCAGAGGGGTTGGGGGGGGTGAAACGCTGGTGCAGTGGCGTTTACCGGTGCTGCGCTATGTACCAGGTGGACGGAGACTGAGTCACTGGCTGCCTCCCCCATTACCGACACGGTGTAGGAAGGCCTTCATCAATTCGTGGATTAACACAGGGCTGTATTTCTTAAAGACTGGTATGGTGAACATTAAGAAATAAGATGTGTTGATTGTCGAAACATAAGAATACAGTATTGTATATTTAATAACACAGCGATGTTATATTTTTTATTACATGCTACTCTGGGCCTTGTCATGACCTAAACATCCATTCCAAATACAAGTTACATTTTACCTTCATATAATGGCGATCATGCTTTTGAAAAATACCTCAATCTTCTTGTCTAAAAACGATTAATTTCTAACGTATTGTGCCTGCTAACAATGCAGGTATGGCATTATGGAGAGCATATTCACATGCACGCAAACTAAGGTTTCACGGTGTTGACTGTCAATAACCCACTGCGGTACTGGATACCAAGCAAGTCTGAGAAGCACACACACACATTGCCATACACTGATTGGGCAAGTGGTGTTTGCGAGTGCCTATTGAAGGCCAACACTCTACAGATGATGGGGTGGTCTGGCCAGGATCACACCTGACCACCTTTGTCTCCCCATTGCTGCTTTGTACACACTGCATCAGATACTCATTAAAGGCTGAGTTAACTTAGGGGAGGCCCAGGACCGGTTGAGATATGCATCACCGATGTTGACCATGAGTGGAAATCTTTATTCCAATCGTCAGGTTCTTAGCAGGGTGCCCTAACCACCGCTACCGTTCCCCACGCACGCGCGCACACGTGCATACAAACATGGCTCAGTGGGCATGATTGAACATGATACATATTCCTTTCACCTTCATATTCAGTGGAAAGTCCACCTAAAACCACTTCACAAGTGATCTTTATCCGCGTCATTACTTGACATTCACCTCTGTCAAGCATTGTGGTTTTGGCCATTGCACTTGGCATGAACTTAATTAGTTTTTCTTTTCTTCGCTCCTCAAGTTCAACCAAATCTGAAGCTCCAGTGTAATGACTTTCCGCTGTACCTTAATACGCATGATACAGAAGGTTAGCTTTGCAGCCTGGTGAGCTATGAAATATCTGAAAGTCGCCAACTAAAAGTCGTTCAGAGATGTCGTGTTAACAGTGGGGCTAGCACCGTTGAAGGTACATACAAACCAGGGCATATCATGGGAATACAAATATCTCACGATTCCTGAAGAGGGGAGAACAGCATTTAAAGACATTGTCTTGAGGGATGTATTATTAAGCAACTTCTAATATCCTGGGAACAGCTGCTTCAAAAAGAGAGCTATCTTTTTGGTAACCTCTGCTATGTACGGGTTACCAAAAAGATTTACAAAAACTTAAACAAACACAAGATCCAGGTTCGTTTCAACACAGTACACAAAATCCGTGATTTTATCCCATCTGTAAAGGATGTGATTTCTGACATGCAATACCCTGGTGTCTACAAACTGAGTTGTGGCTGCGGCAGTAGTTACATTGGGGAAACTAAACGACATGTCTCGGACCGCGTTCGTGTACACAGATCTGAAACACGGTAGGACCAATACCTCTGCCGTTGCCGATCATTGTTTTAACAATGTGGGCTCACACGAAATCGATTTTTCCAAGACGGAGGTACTCTGCAAACCTACCGGCTACCTTCAGAGATTTCATGAAGCCATCCAGATATATAAACACAGACACAACTTCAACCGAGAGGATGGGTAAAAACTGAGCAATCATTGCAAAGATGTTATTAACCAGGTAAAGTCTTAACTGACTGTGATGTTTCCATCCTACCTGCCTATGTCAACTGTTATTTCCGACTCTCTGTGTCTCTCTATACCTCTCTCTTAGATCTCTCATGCTCACCCTCCGTTTCTACAGTTACATGCTAATTTCTCACATTAGCATCATGCTAATCTCTCAAATTAACATAGCCACTTCCGTGCCCTCTAATTTCTCACATTAACATCATGCTAATCTCTCACATTAACATAGCCACTTCCGTGTCCTCGTCTATAGGAGGCCGCTTTCCTATCTTACAGTTACATGCTAATTTCTCAAATTAACATCACTAGCCCCGGCTACTTCTTTATGACCCTTGGGCTACACCCATTTCAAACCTTTTAAAACAGTCTGCCTCAGCAGCAGATTATGCTTTCCCACCTGATGACGGACGCTTGTGTTGTGCCCAAAACGTCGTAATTTATTTTAATTTTATTTTCTACCTACGTGACTTTACCGAAAGAACCAAAGAGTGGATTCCTGCAGTCACAAAAGCTTCAAATCAAGGTTTTATGTATACTTTTACTTTTCATGAATGTAACTGAAATCACAATAATGCAATGTCTGTTTCATTGCACAAAACTCATTACACGTTCTACAAAAGGTTTGGACATTTGGAGTAAAAATCAGGTCAGACGAGCCACGAAGGGCAGTTATATTTCTAATGAGACCAAGACCTTTTGAAAGAGCTCTGTCATTCATCAAAATTCATGCTGTAGTTCATGAGCAGGATTCAAACAAAGGTTAAATCGTAACCTAATAACATAAGTACTCTAGATTGTATGAGAAGTAAATATCACATTGCCATTATCTATAGGCCTCGCCATTACAACACATTAATATATAGCTACGCAATGCATACTGCACTATATATTTAAGTCGGTGTACGGTGCGAAATAAGTTGAAAGTACATATATTTTAGTATTTTGTGGTGCAAAAAAGAATGGGTTCGAGAATACAATTGGCATTAATGATAAGATATGAGAGTATAAAACGTAAAAAGAAGTGGATTAAAAGGCATTACAATCCCACAATGCTACGTAAGTCTACTTATACCCTGCTCTACAGTATCTGTTTGAGATGCTGACATCACAAGTACCCCGTGCGCAAGCTAATGTAGCCACACAAAGCTTTACACTGATCGCCAGTTGATGTATGCAGCTTCAGGTTGTTTGCAGACTGCTAAGAAGGTGACCTTGACAGCCATCAAAATGACTTCTATTGCAACATATTGTAACCTTCTGAAAATAAAAACGGCAGCCTTAGCACTGAATAGAAACCAACAAGAAAGCTGAGAAAGTTGAATGTGCAGCCCTGAAATTACTTGCTCTGGCCACTGCTGGAGGAAGAGAATCTACTAGAAGGAGCTGTTAGGGGAGCTACGGACAGTCTCGATCGGTTATTCCACCTACTCTTCCACACTGGACAGACTTTTTGGAAGAGGTAGCAGTACCCACACTTTACCCCACCACACACTACCTGCCGATTGACTGTGGTGTACTTATTTATATACTTCTGGGTGGACAGAAGGTGGTGGGGGGTGGGGATTTAAGAACCCTGCCTGATATTTCAACTGCCACGCTGGGACATCAAACTGGCGACCTCTGAATTGTCCAGAGGTCGCCAGTTTGAGGAAATGGAGCAAAAATACAGTAATAGTTTAAACCAGTGGTTCTTAACCTTCACTGCAGCTTTGTACCCCTTTGGTTCTCAATCGTTAAAACATTTATGTAAATAAATAGATGTGTTTGAAACAAAGTAGTTGTACTTACGTGCCCATGATTATTTTGCGTTTCGATGATTTACCTTCTAAAAAATATGGCCATGTCTCGCATCCCCAGGGGGTGCGTGCACACCAGGTTACGAACCACTGGTTTAAACACTTTCTTCTATGCATTTGTCTTTGTTCATTCATTATATGCCAGCTTAATATTGCACGTAAAAAAACTACGGGAACTCTAATGCTGCTGCACTGCCTGATGTAACACGACTCGTATTATTACTGCATTCCCACAAACGCTTAGAAACCAGCTCAGTCCAGTTTGTGAGCCAGGCTGATGGGCATGACCTAAATTCCCACAGCAGCCTGACCAGCCAAGTGAGTAGGGTTTGCCACCTGTCCTGGTTTTCTCAGGATCATACTCTTATTGAGGTTGCCATCCTAAGAAACATGAGTTTTCCTGGGACAATAAAAGTCCTTGTTTTTGTCATTTGCATAATAATCCACTTGCGCAAGGCAGTACATTTATATGTAGTTCTCCCCTATTCTGTCATCATGGGATGTTCATCTTCCCTTGATTATGTCCTCGGAGGTGCCAACCCTTCAAGTGAGTTGTAACCCAGCAGTGTATCTCACTTTGCCAAGGGGTAGCGAACCACTTCCAGCAAGACCATCATGGGATGCAGCTGTGATTGTCACAGTCAACGCAGACGAGACATTCGCTGTTAATGGCATCTCTTGTGCAGATCAACGTCACAAAGCCTTACAAAATATTCAACTTGGATCAAACTTACAAAAATCCTAGATTATTGCTTGGAATAACGCTTTCCGAGGTATGCATTAAACCTAGTTAAGAGTGTAAAACATAAATATAGCATGTGTTCTAATCTTGCTGACCCGATGTATATGCAGAAAGGCTGCGATGCCCATTTACTTTTGTACCTACATTTTTTGACTTGACCGTACATTTTTTAAGGGGGTGCTAATTCTTCAGCCCCCCTCTCCCATGCTATGCACTGTATACCAGGGCATCTGGACAACCTGCTCATGGGATTCTGTACTTTCTCCTGCAGTGGGAGAAACTGCAGATGACCACGAGTGAACGGCGAAAAATAATCTGCTCCGTCACATTCCACATTATCGCCATCACCTGTGTGGTGTGGTCACTGTACGTGCTCATCGATCGGACAGCGGAGGAGATACGGCACGGGCAGGAGAACGGTGAGAGTCGTAATCATAGATGTCTCGACCAGTTTTGCCAGACATTGAGTCGTGTGGGAGAAATGGCAGACTACCTGAATTCCAGCCTGTTTAACCAGTCTACTTGGGAATAATTCTGCAGATGAAATGTGAAAAACAGTCACTGTTGGTGATGGAGTTACTTGTTTCATTTTCAGCATAATCTATCTTTAGTGGATCAGCATTCCTACTTTAGAATTTAAAAATAAATACATTGGTCTATGGTTTAACGATTACATTACATTTGACCAAACTATGACAGCCAGCTTCTCTAGACGTAAGCTACTCTAAACGCAAACAGTATATACAAAAAACAGCCATTTGCAGGGGGGGGGTGCTGCTGGTACATATTTTCTATTCAAATTTTGGCAGATAAATTGGCCAGCGGCTACTTCCTTTGGCAGTATCGTAGGTTCCATTGTGAAACCGCCTGTAGGAAATTCCAGAAAGTTATTGTCTGCTGTGAATGGGACAAACTCGATGATGTAACATAATTTTGACAAGAACATCGTTAAATTTCGATTTAAAGCTTTCGTGACTGCAGGGATTCATCTTCTTGTTTCTTTCGGTAAAGTCACGTAGAAGGGAAGTAATAAAATAATAAAAATAAAACATAATAAAACAATTCTCACGACGTTTCGGCTACAACGCAAGCAGCCGTCTTCAGGTGAAGACGGCTGCTTGCTTACAACGCTGCTTGCGTTGTAGCCGAAACGTCGTGAGAATTGTTTTATTATGTTTTATTTTTATTATTTTATTACTTCCCTTCTACGTGACTTTACCGAAAGAAACAAGAAGAAGAACATCGTTGTTTTTGATTTTTGACAAGAACATCTATATTTCAGATATAACACTGATATAGGAGTTACAGTCATAACAACTGTTGATACATAGTGATTTTTACCCAAGGCTTCATTGCCAATGAGAATAGATTAAACTCATTCGGCTCATGCATTTTCAAATAGAGTGTATTGAAATGATCATATTAGTTATTTTATTTGACTGCACTGTTTTTATTATACACATTGTTCAGTTGGCAGCTTTGACAATGCGAATATTACGTGGCTTGCAAATCCTCTTATCGCATGTCTTAGAATGAAGCAGTCATCCGCTTCTTATTCTATCGTACGGCTGATGTAGATGCAGCGCAACAACTACAATTTCACATTCAGGTGGTCAAGCCCAGACAACCAGCGCAGGAGCAGTGGAGTGTATCATCGCTGCGATGTCTCCTTCGTATTTGTGTTATACATTGTATGGTCTGTTTCCGGATGACCACAGTCACACACTGGACAGTTTTTAATATTCCATTTGTGCATCAGGATATCCGCATCTGTCATGGTTTACACGGATGCAGTTTAGGGTGAACCATGAGCTTTGTGGAAGATGAAAACCAGGGATCTTCTGTGTTGGGTCTTTCAAACGGTGTTTGTTTGTGAGTTTATGTGACCTCCGTTCAGCTTTCCAAGCTTCATCGGAGTTGAATTCGCATTGTTTCAGGTTAAGCGCATGGGTCCCAAAGGGCTTGCGTGACTTCAAGCGATGACGAGGGAAGTTATTAAGGTCCTGATGAATGTGAAGGGGCGACTGTTTTTCTCGATTCCCAAGACTTCCCGGAGGGTTGCAGCATTGCGCCGGATGGGTGGCGGAGAGATGTGTGCCAGGATGGGCAGCCAGGGTGTTGGGGTCGACTGCCATCAAGTGATACAATAATGTAAATGTTTCATTAATGTGAATCAGATGAGATATTTACACTCAAGCAATCAACCAAAGAAGCTGATCTGTGTCATTTAGTTAAGGTGTGTGCTGTCATTATTTCAGGCATCTTGGAATGGCCGTTCTGGACCAAGCTGATTGTGGTGGCCATTGGGTTCACGGGAGGCCTCGTCTTCATGTACGTGCAGTGCAAAGTGTACGTGCAGCTCTGGCGCCGCCTCAAAGCCTACAACAGGGTCATCTTTGTGCAGAACTGCCCCGACACGGCACGCAAGAAGAGCCCAGACGACCGCACCATCGCTCTCTTTGAGCGTGCGGGATCAGAGCTCAAGGAGCCCGCCACCGTCGTCTACCAATCAGAGACGAGCTTGCAAGGCCCCAGGGCAGAGGGCCTTCCCATGTGAGGCATCCACCACATAAGTTGCCTGATGCGGTGGTGACTTTTGTTTTTTGTCGAAAATGTGTTTCCACGTCGAGCTTGGAAGGAGAGCGAAGTTTATTAATAGATGTGTGTTCGATTTTTAAATGAATGTGAGCGACTCTTTTTATGGGTTTTTTTTATTTAACTATCAAGAAGAAGCCACAACGGAAAACACATCACAATGTCAGCACAGTGGTCTAATAGGTCACAAGAAGGCAATTGTGTTATTAAGGCTACATGGAAGTATAGAGAGCTCTAAAGTGAGACGTTTATTTCGCTGTACATTTATATATGCTGATCAGGAAATGCAGTGTTTGGCAAACCATTGTGACTGTTGTCCCAGGACTCGGCTATTTTTGAGGCCAAACAAGACCTAATATGGAGGGTCGAATTTACACGAAGATTGTGAGGGGGTGTGGCAAATGTAGTGGGAAGTGATGAGGGGCCTGTGAAGTGCATTCATGGATTTTGTCCTGTATGGAATGAATTTAAGGCTCTTCAGATCTACAGCCGACCACATTGTGAGTAATGGACATCTACTGGCACCAAGCAAAAGCAAGACAAGGAGCATATATATTTCCTTAGAAGTTATGTTAAAGGCATGACTTTGAAATGAACACACGCATACATTTGTTATTTGGAATTATGTGAATGAGTCAAAGCTTGTACAGTTAACTTGATTCAAAGCATTTAATGCTTTAAACATTGTTTCAATGTCTAGTGGCTTTTCTTGGTTTTGTACTGCTTATAACAGTGGTCAATCTATCATCAAAGTGATGAACTTTACATGATTTCACAAAGCTAAAGTAGTTTCATTGCAATTTCTTTAACATACCACAAACAATCAAAAAAGACCACTCACCTTACTTTTTTCCATCTTTTCAATTTATGCACTTTTATCGCATCAAAACATTACATGAAATTATTTTCGGTGGCTAAATGTGTACATTTGCATTTTTGTTTAATATTACTGCAGTGTTTTATATTGTTTTACAACAAGACAGAGGCTTGTTCGTAGTAAAGATGTTGTTAGGTTGTCTGCCGATCTAAAACAATAACAGTTCAATAATCCTAGCACTATATAAGATGTCAACCTTTGCATACAGTAATTATGTAAAATGTGTACATTTGAAAAAAAAATCTACCCAAATATTTTATTTATTGCTTAGAAAAAGGCGTAATTTACGTTGCTGAAAATAATAAACATCTTAGGTTTGATATGTCCAATCAAATGTATGAAATCTTGACTTAAAGCTTTCGTGACTGCAGGAATTCATATTCTTTGGGTTTTTCGGTAAAGTCGCGTAGATATCGAAAGACCCAAAGAATACAAATGTATGAAACCAAGTTATGCATACACCGAGGTATTCATTCAGTTGGGTTTATTTTGACTGTACGTGTTACTTTTGAGGGAATGAATTTAAAATAAATTTCCAGTTTTATGCGTGTTTTTATTTCCTTTAACGGGTGTTTTCCTACCAGTGTGATTTTGGTTGTTGTGCACACAGCCTGTGACATCTGTATATATGTACAACTTATGTCGTACCCGACGTAGCCAATCGTGCTAATCGGACCTGTCACAACAAACACTTATGACAACATGTCCAACAATGCTTGACTGAACAGATACTGCAATTTTCATGGGGACCTCGGGTGTCATTAAGATGTCAGACACGTAATGCATTGGGGCAATGGCTTCAGCGTTCCAGTCTTGCCCCCTCGTCAGTACCTGGGGGTCCCCCAACCACGGGGAAGCTAATGATTCAACCAGAAGTGACCGAATTCTGTGAGCTCCATCTCAACCAATCCCAGTCTCAAGCTTACAAAGGATAAATAAATAATAAGCCACTTTAACTGAGGTTGTATGTGCTTTTTTTCTTTTCTTTTGATCAAATGCAGTAGCAATATTTCATAATATTGAGCAATGAAAGCAATGTGGAGACTCAATTGCAGTGGCAGAGGAAAAATAGAATCTACTTATTTTATGAATTCTCATTCTTTTTGAAACTACTGTTTGCTGACCTCCACACAATACATTTTTTAAAGGAGTCTTATATTGTATGAGAGCAACTGTGGCATTGGATAGTTTTAATACGACAACATTTTTACTGTATAATATTGCAGCACGGATGCATACAAATCAGAATATTTGAGACCAGAATAACACTTGGCTCACGAGTGAGATAATTGAGATATCAAAAGTGCACATTTCAGGTTAGGCTGGCAGCTCATCATTATCCCTACGGGGATTGTACAATCGGTAGCGTCCGGTGGTCAGAACATGTGTTTTGAACAGATTGGTCAATTGGTGCTGTTTTTTGGGTTCTACCGCACATTGTTCGGCACGATGTCCGACGGTTTGCTCCACGTGCTGGGATCTTATTCGGGAAATTAAATACAGTACTAGTATACAGTTGCTGAATACGCTTTCATTAAAACAAAACGCAGCACAACCTGAAATCACATCCTGGAGCTATACAGGACAACCACGGAACCCTATGTTGTAGATTGGTATCGACTGTAGCAAAACACAGGCTCACGCTCTGACCTTGTTACATTAACAGTCCCCTTATTATCCACATATCCAACGACTTACTATTTACATATCAATACCATCTAACGGACCACCTTCAATCCTTATTTCGGCACCATCTCTCTCGTAAGGGGGTTCACCGCACTGTTAAAAAAAGTCTTTTAAAACGTTTCTTAAACGCAGAGATGTGAAATTGACGTTCCAGTAAACATAGAACGTTGGTCTCATGGTTTAAAGCACATGCCAACGTGGGTCCCAAATTGCATGTTCACTGGGTTGGTGCTGGCTGATTTCAGGACTGGCACCTTCCCACAGAGTGCTGGATCCATGCGTTTTGGATCCGCCAAGAGTCAATGGATCCTGTTTGGTTCTAGGAAGCTTTGAGGGCCAGCATTACCACGTCCCTTGATAACGGTCTGGTCGATGAACTCGTGACAGAATAGCCAGCTTCTATTCTCGGCCATTGACAGGGTGGCTCTGAAACGGATCGGCCCTCTTCGCTCAACCCCCAGCCACCTGTAGTTTAACGGAGAACTGAGAGGGTTGACAAAACGAGTCAGAAGAGAGGAGCATCGCTGGAGGAAGTCCAATGTAGTCTAGGATTAGATAACCATTGTGTATCATCAGGGGTGCACGAAAACAGCAATTCTGTGAGCAAAGAAGAATGTCTGTTGATTAGTATGCTTTGTGAAATTTGTATTTTAGAAATACAGGCAGAAACGTACGTGGAGGAAACAAATATTCCCATTAGATTTTCTGATGACGGGCAATTTAGTAATAGTAACAACCAATGGAAATGACACGTGGGATATGGTTGAAAAACTAAATACACTTTGCTCAACAATTGAAGGTGGTTGCACACAAATGCAAAACACGTCAAAGCGGGTCTTGAAAGCTTAACTAGGATAAACAGTAATTTAAATAAATAGGCAAATAGCAGATTGGAACACATTCTTCTTGTGCTGTTTAAATTTGGTCCAAAGCAAATAACATTTACAATACACTCAGAAGCTGCTGTAAAACTACATACAAGCGTCATCATTCTGATTACTTTTTTTTATATGCGTTCACATGCTGGGTGAAGGTGCTGAAATAATTTACTGTAAAACAAACAGCAATTTGCTCTCGTGCATCTTAAAGAGTCCTGTCCCACTTCTCACTTCCAGCTGAACAATTTTTTTCATGTTTGGACATGCACATTCGGAAAATGACATGTTTTATTTTCACTGCAGTAGTTCCCTTATCACTGGATATGCATGACCCAATTGCTGAAATTCATTGTATCACCACATAACGATTCAGCTGTATGGCAATACTGTAAGTTACAATTTTTGCTTCAATTTGATGATAGGACACTGTAAAGTGATATATCACGTCAACCAGTCATGGTTATGGACATCATAAAAAAGCCTCTGCTTGATAATTAATTCATCAGCTAAAATTCTAATGAAAATCAGCAGCTGTGAAATCATGTATGTTTATAATGAGCTCGTAAACACAAATTATATGGCAATCAGCAACTAAATGTTGCAGCTAGTTTATGTATAGCTCTCTACAGTTTGGCAATACATCATTTCTTTGATCCGTTTCATGTCGGGTTGACTTTGCAAGTGACATAACAAGGAATTATACTACATAACACAGTTGAGAGCTTCCAAGGATGCACCTGGGGTGTGTTCATTCAGAGGTGTGCATAGCGGTTCAGGCAAGGCTGAAAACATACAAGTAAAGAAGGCATGGACATAATTCTGGGCAAGCACATGTTTTACTGATTTAATGCCATCATTATCACATCTAATTATATGCAATCATCCATTCAACAAGCAGCGTGGAAAGAGGGTTTCACCCATCACTTCACACAAGATCAACTACACCTGGCACACATAATTCCCTATAATGTGGCAATGATGCCAACACGTTATTTCAAGTCATGCCATGGAAGCATTTATGCCATTGAAATTAAGCGCGGTGTCCATTTTATGTCTGCACATCATAATAAAGTACAATCAGGATTATGAGGATATACAGAATTTAAAATGCAAATGTAGAAATGATCAATATAATCTATTCGCAAGAGACAATTACATTAACGATAAACAGTACTGCACAGCCATTTTTCAATGCACTGTTGAAGGCCACCCCAAACAATATCGGTCATGGGGGTTGTTTGACCATACTTCACCACTGATTTGAGTTACGGATGGGAATTGAACTCCTGTAGTCTGTCACCCCTCTGTAATACACGTTATTTACAGTAGCGTGAAATGCAGGACTATACTTGGTTTAAGAGTAGAGAATATATGAATGAATAATGTATGGTCACGATGCAGGTGATTTACAAGTAGTCTTGAAACAGACCTCACAAGTGTGCAGTAAGAATAACAGGACAACACTTTGTATAGTTCAAACATGAGGACAGGTGCAAGTGTTCTTTGAGCCCCAACCCCTTTCACCCCTTCATTACACTCAACCAATATTTTTTTTTACACAACCCATACTTTTCTGTTGGAGCAAATAATAGAAAAAATTACTAAATATATTTTCCAAGCCCATTCCCAAACCTTATACACCACTGATTTGGAGACAATTGGGTGAACATTAAAACCTTCTTTTGTCCCAGGTAATTACATCCCACCACCCCTACCCACCATGTATTTTGCTGTCGTAATTGTTACCGTGTTTCAACAAAGACGACGGGGATTTTCATGCGGCATGTGTGAACAAACCCGCCTGTTGCTACGACAACCGCCCTTGCTGTTTCGTGCCCCGTGAATCCCAAGGGTGTAGAGCCAAACATCCCATAACAAATGAAATCAGCCCATTTCAACGTGTGCCATTTGGGCCACTCACCGCAGTGTACCACTACAGAACCCAATGTCAGTTCACCCCCCTCCCCACCCTACTGGTATATGGGAAACAATGAAAACATAGAAGGCTCACATTTGCTTAAATGGGTACATTGCACTGCAGATCAGTGAATGATTTGCAGTGGTGCTCTTAGATATCTGCTGGAAGCAGTGCAAGCCAGAGAGTGCACTTCACACTGAACAATGAAAATGCTGTACAGTACATCACTGAATGGATGCTTGCTGTCTTTCACAGGGTCATTTATGAGGCATGTTTGACAAGGTATTACAAGTATTAAAGAGATTTAATGGGTGATATTGTGTCTGTAAAGTTAGTCTTGTCTTTATTGATGTGTGCCATCAACAATGGCATTTAAAATTTTACATTGTAAAAATCTTGCACTTTCTTGAATGCATTTATGGTCAAGGCAATTTCTACGAGTGATGCACATATAACGGGATGTACATTAGGGCTTTAAACATGCAATAATGTAATAATGATTGGTCATTACAATAATTTCGATTTATAGAATGCAAATGCACTATATTTTAGCTTATTTATTGCAGCATTAACTTAGTCATAAAAATCAGGAATGCATTGCATAGTTTACGTGAACAAAACAGACAGCAATTTTGCATGCATGCAACTCCAATGGCCTAATTTAAGCCCGGCAATGTTCAAGTGCAGAAATTGCTTCAGAGAGAACGCACGTACATCACGTAGGGCTTTAGCTCAGCACAGTTGTGTGGTGCGTGGCGTAGGTGTTTTGTCGGAAAGCCATTGTCAGGTCGTCCGGTTCCTAACGTCATCGTGAAGCTGGATATATTCCCACGGGAGGTCAGGCAGATTTGTCCACTGAGTATGAATGCTGCCTTGGCCAGTGGGGTTTCTTTTTGTGATATTCCAGCATCGTTGGGGCCATTATGTACATACAAATCTACAGAGTGATTAAATTATCTTCCTTAACAGTTTCAACCAGTGAACATTTTTAAAAGTGAAAATGTTTGCAATATATGAGCGTTAATTATGACAGCTTGTGTTTTCGGAATGTGTCACTGCCAAGCCTTGAACCCCAACACAGCCCCCATCTCCCCAATGCTCGAATTGACTTATATTTTTACTTTCTCCGCAATCCTTTGTTTGCGTTCTCTCCATCGCTTGGCCTAACTGCCTCATTATCTCAAACAAATTTTCTGACTTGCCCTCCACATCATTGCTCCTCTTCCACAGAACCATTGCTATAGTGTTTCAACATTTTCTCCACTTCCACGTATCCTCACCGTCATTCCGTTCCCAGCATCGGATATCCTCCCCCGATTTTACATCATTGTCCCCTTCTCATGCACAGCATCTTGAAATACGATCGCATTTGTCCACTGTCATTTTACTTAACGTATAGTTTTTAAATGCTCTTTATTTTTTACAATATATTTTATTTAGGACTTGGTTTGTGAGAGCTTAATCAATTGGATCTGCAAAGGCTAGCCGTGATGTAATGTGATAATGCATTACTCTTCCTAAGATATAGGAATAGGGAATGCACAAAGTACCAAAATACATTACATGTGTTGTCAAACAAGGAGGCACGCTTTCAATAAAGTTGTTGGCAGACACATTGCAAAATTGTTTATCCAATACAATTTTCCGAAAAAGATCCAAATATAAACGGAGATATTTGCCAATATTTGGCCTAAGATTTCCTGACGATAGACACAATAACGAACAAAAATGTATTGAGCACAAATTTGCAGAAATATGTAAAGTAGAGCTCAATATATATGGGCAAAAGAGAAGGGAAAGTTGCATGAAAAAAGTTATATAAACAACTGAAGATACAGTATTTGTTAGAGGGACTCACCTAGAGAACACATGAGAGTATGTGTACCTAGGGCAGCTTTAATAGGTTGCCTGGGTTCAAATTATGAATGTGGATAAGAGTAGGTTGGAGTGTGTTTTATAAACTGAACTTAATGAAAACAATTCCACCTAAAGAAACCTTTTTTAAAATCAGAATCTTTATTTATACTAGAGGAATCCAATGAGTTTTCAAGCTCTTTTTGAAAGATGTCCAGCAGTGCACAGATGTCCAGTAGTTTATCTTATCTGCTATGACATACGTGTGCAAAGAAGGGAGAGATGGATTCTTGAAATTACAATCAAACATAGAGAACAAATGAAAAATACATACTTCGTATTGACTGACGAAACAAGTGGGCTTAGTCGGGACACGTTGTTAGAATAGATTACGGCTAGTGATCGAGACAAAGGAGGGAATATACATAAGGGGACGTTCACCGCACACATTGAGTGCTTAAATCAGCTGAGGTACAGGTGGCAGATGGATTGTTGCATCGCAGGAATGTGAGACATGGCGAAATCTTGGAAAGGCCTTCATCCAGCAGTTGATAGATCATGGTTCAAGACATTCAGTTAACAAATGAACAAAGCATGCGTGGTCGATAAGTAGGTGCATACATAGTTTCGACCGCAAGGCATATGGAGTCACTTTAAAACAATAAACATGTCCAGTTGGCCCTGAATGTACCAATGTAAAGCACAGGTAAAAAAATGTGCGGCCTCTCATCCATTAAGTCAAATAGAAGAGTGCAAAATGGCTTAAAAAAGACCACGAAAGCTGGTTACTCAAGGTGTACATTCCTTTAACAATAGCAGTGTTTAAATGTCCCACATTGCAAATAAACACTGCCTTTAATCTAACATCCATAACCCCAATGTCAACACTTTACCTCCTGGAAAGGCCGTCCACTCAACTCGATTATCGAATTATGTAGAGGGAGAGGGGGGGTGGGTTGGGTAAGGGGCCAGATAATATCACGATCATAGATAATGCAGCACGCCATGTGTAAATAAGGCTAAATACGTATGTATTGTGTTATTTGATCAGTCTTGAGAGATTAAATCGATAATCGGTAGATTAATCGATTACTTAAATACTTTGAGAGCCCAGCGTTTTTCAGAATTGTATTTGTATTTCATCACTTCGCCAATAACTTAACCCGCAATACAGTCTTGACTTCAAGCTTTCGTGACTGCAGGAATTCATATTCTTGGGTCTTTCGGTAAAGTCACGTAGATATGTTCAAAGAAAATAAAAAAAAATAACTACGGCGTTTCGATCGCAACACAACACGGTCTTCAGGAAACTGCTTTTTTGGGGGGCAAGGGAGGGAGAATACCCCTATTTTAAATAATACTACGATTAATTATAACCATGTACTCGATCTTAACTTAATTCTGTAATTGAGGGGTAATACGGTACCAGATGTAATGTTAACTCCGTTGTTACATACTCTTAGGTTTTTTATTAGAAAAATAATAAATGAAAATAAATCTATTGATTTATTTCCATTTATTATTATTTTATTTATTATTATTTTTACCTACGTGACTTTACCGAAAAAACCTAAGAGTATGAATTATGAATCCTTGCAGTCACGAAAGCTTCATCAAATCTATAAATCCGTCGTTACATTTCAGTCGACGCTCAAAAGCCACGTGGGTCACGTGCTCGCTGCGTGCCTCGGAATTTAATTGTCCCCCCACCCAACCACCACCGACGCGATTGGTTGATCCGCGTGACGCAACGCGGAGCTCACGACTGCGATTGGCTTATAGCACGACGGTTTTGCCCAATGGGCGCGAGGAATACGGTTGCCAAGGGGACTCAAGCAGCGGTCGCCAGGGTAACCGCACTGCCATATTCGTACAGGGAGACACGTGTTCAGTACGCGGGGATGACGCCTCTTCTGGCCTTAGTGACGACGACGAAAGGACCTTTAGATTTAAAGCTTTCGTGACTGCAGGGATTCATCTTCTTGGTTCTTTCGGTAAAGTCACGTAGAAGGGAAATAATAAAAATAAAACATAATAAAATAAAAAATTAAATACAAATAAAATAAAAATTGAATAAAATAAAATATCAAATAAAAATTTACTAATTTACTTTTTTTTCCTTCTACGTGACTTTACCGAAAGAACCAAGAAGAAGAAAGGTATATTGCCCGAAACGTCTCTTGCCATGTATTGTTTTCCTCAATACACGGGGAAGCTCCTCCTGACGTCACGGTCGGGTTAGGCCCAGCAAGAGCCACTCCTGTAACATTAAAATACAAATAATAGAAACACACTACTGTAGATCCATTTAAAATATATACTGCCTCATAACAGACAGATGTCAGATATTGACACGTAATTTTATATGTTCCAAAGTAGTCTGTGATAGCACTGCGATTCCTTATAAGAAAAACACAACCAACACTTTAATTAGTTACCATTAACGATCCAAATTTCACATTTTCACAGTTCTAATTAACATTTATCAGGAACCAAAAACCTAGAATGAAGTCAAAGATGGATAAAATATAAAGTAGACTGGAGGTTGCCCCTTGCTAAGTTGTTAGTGGTAGCCAGGGCAACTTTTGGTAAGGGGGGGGGGAGGCATTTTCACTCAATGTACAGGGTGGTCCAGATGTCTTGTGACTTCCCAATTAAATTTTGATTTAAAGCTTTCGTGACCTCAGGGATTCATATTCTTGCTTCTTTCGGTAAAGTCACGTAGAAGGGAAACAAAAATAAAATAAAAATATAAACAATAAAAATTCTCACGACGTTTCGACTGCAACACAAGCAATCATCATCAGGTGTGAAATCCACAGCAAGATTTTTTAAATATTTTTATTATTTTATTATTTCCCTTCTACGTTACTTTACCGAAAGAACCAAGAATATACTTCCCAATTAGTTAAGGGGGCGTCCATAAATGACGTCACGCACCTGGGGGGGGGGGTCAGACATTTGTGACGAGGGGGGGGGGTGAGAAATGTGACGTCACATCAAAATGCGCAACTTTAAATAAATATAGACAACACGTTCTGCTTAATTGAATTGACTTTTTAATAAATGTTTTCTCCTACAACATCAGAGTGCAGCGCCACATTAAATACGCACTACAATAACATTTGATTAAATTTATATTTATTTTTTATTTATGATTTTATTATTTTAGTATTTCCCTTCTACGTGACTTTACCGAAAAAACCAAGAAGAAAAATGACAATAGTTTAAAGCGATTTGAAGCATGTTTTATACATATTTTGGGGGGGGGCAGAGCTTTGTGACGTCATATTTGGGGGGGGGGTCTGACTTTTTGTGACGCTTTTGACGAAGAGGGGGGGGGGGGTCAAAAATCGTCAAAAATCACGTGACGTCATTTATGGACGGCCCCTAACCCCCTAACATTATTTCCCTTCGCGTATTCATTTCTGTTTTAAATAAACCTCGCTTAAAAAAAAAACACATATTTAGTACGTTTCAGATAATTAACCGGTGGGTCACGAGACATCCGGACCACCCTTGCCTAACAACGCGAAATATCGAAAGTAAAATCGAATAGACCACCGGGGTGCGGGAGAGAGAGAGAGACATATATATTTGTTTTACCTACGTGACTTTACCGAAAGAACCTAAGAGAGTGAGAGATTCTAGATTTGAAGCTTTCGTGACTGCAAGGAATCATACTCTTAGGTTTTTTCGGTAAAGTCACGTAGGTGAAACATCAAAATTAATGAAAATAAAATAAAACAAAAAATCACGACGTTTCGGAGGCAACACAAGTCTCCGTCATCAGGTGGGACCGTCACAGCCGAATTAGCTGCATCAAGTAAAAAAACCTAAGAATAGAATAAGAGTGAGAGATGTATAATAAACTCGGCCCCTTGCTAAGACGACCGCTTCAGAGACGTCTTATTCAAATCGACAACCCTCCGCTTCACTGCGGGCGCCATGATTGTAGGGGAACGACTTCGCTTTAGAATCGCGACTGCACCGGTCTCCTCGCCCGTGCGCTGTCACTGCCGGGTGACGGCTCCGTCGTCGTCGTCCTCGTAGCAGCAGCGATAACCACTGCCGCTGCTCACGATGCCGACCACCTGCAAATTGTCACCTTGCAGCTGTCGTTCTGCATTCTACATCAGCGGCCGTATGAAGACGAAGACGATGACGACTGGCGCGTTTGTCCCTTGGTAAGATGGCCGTCCGGAGGACTCAGCAGCAACAACAGCAGCCACTGGGAGTGGTGGTGAGTCCAGCCACAGCGCCCCTCTCGGCTCAATGTTTAATAAGTCCGGCCAGCGACGGCGGTGGCGGTGTGGGGTGGAGGCGAGGGAAGGCAACGACACCAAAGTGAGCGCGACGTTCATTCTCTCTCTCTCTGGGCCGACACATGTTCTGTTGGGGGGGGTCTCCTCCTCTTCATCTTCTTCTTCTCTTCATCTTCTTCGTCTTCTCCTCCTCCACGTGAGACGAGACGAGGCCCTCAGTGGTCGAGCGGCCCGATTTGCCGATGTGCGCGCCGCGGGGTTTTTCGTGGAGGTGTTGGGCCGATGGCCTGGACCTCTCCAGCCAGCAGTGGACAGGGCATGTCGCTGTCATTTGCCGTGAAACAACAGTGACAGGAATGGCTGTTGTGAGGTTTCTGGGGTGGCCTGGCCTGGCCCTCTCCAGCCAGCAGTGGACAGGGCATGTCATTGTCATTTGTCGTGACACAACAGTGACAGGAATGGCTGGAGTGAGGTTTTCTGGGGTGGCCTGGCCCTCTCCAGCCAGCAGTGGACAGGGCATGTCGCTGTCATTTGCCGTGAAACAACAGTGACAGGAATGGCTGGAGTGAGGTTTTCTGGGGTGGCCTGGCCTCTCCAGCCAGCAGTGGACAGGGCATGTCAGTGTCATTCGCCGTGAAACAGCAGTGACAGGAATGGCTGGAGTGAGGTTTTCTGGGGTGGCCTGGCCCTCTCCAGCCAGCAGTGGACAGGGCATGTCAGTGTCATTCGCCGTGAAACAACAGTGACAGGAATGGTTGGAGTGAGGGTTTCTGGGGTGGCCTGGCCCTCTCCAGCCAGCAGTGGACAGGGCATGTCGCTGTCATTCGCCGTGAAACAGCAGTGACAGGAATGGCTGGAGGGAGGTTTTCTGGGGTGGCCTGGCCTCTTCAGCTAGCAGTGGACAGAGCATGTCAGTGTCATTCGCCGTGAAACAGCAGTGACAGGAATGGCTGGAGTGAGGGTTTTCTGGGGTGGCCTGGCCTCTCCAGCCAGCAGGGGACAGAGCATGTCAGTGTCATCCGCCGTGAAACAGCAGTGACAGGAATGGCTGAAGTGAGGTTTTCTGGGGTGGCCTGGCCCTCTCCAGCCAGCAGTGGACAGGGCATGTCAGTGTCATTCGCTGTGAAACAACAGTGACAGGAATGGCTGCAGTGAGGTTTTCTGGGGTGGCCTGGCCCTCTCCAGCCAGCAGTGGACAGGGCATGTCAGTGTCATTCGCCGTGAAACAACAGTGACAGGAATGGCTGCAGTGAGGTTTTCTGGGGTGGCCTGGCCCTCTCCAGCCAGCAGTGGACAGGGCATGTCAGTGTCATTCGCCATGAAACAACAGTGACAGGAATGACTGCAGTGAGGTTTTCTGGGGTGGCCTGGCCCTCTCCAGCCAGTAGTGGACAGGGCATGTCGCTGTTATTCGCCGTGAAATAACAGTGACAAGAATGGCTGGAGTGAGGTTTTCTGGGGTGGCCTGGCCAGCCAGCAGGGGACAGAGCATGTCAGTGTCATTCGCCGTGAAACAGCAGTGACAGGAATGGCTGGAGTGAGGTTTTCTGGGGTAACCAGGGCCTGGCCTGGCCTCTCCAGCCAGCCTGCAAATCGAGATTTGTGTTGTCATTCCACCATTGGCCTGTCGAAGCTAGCAGTGGATTTGGATTGGCCCTGTCGCCCAACTTTACGAAATGCTCCATAGGCAGAAGTGAGCACAGTGGTACAACCACGTATGGCATCCAGCAGTGGCTAAGGAATGGTGCTTGCCATTCATTGTTCGGCAATAATACTGAACCCGTCCAACAATGGTAGAGAATCGAAATACAGTACTCTATAAAGTATTTCTGATTATGTAATATCCAATATTGTGATATCTCAGGCTTTCCGCCGACTCTTAAACTCTTTATTATGAGTGTGTGTGTTGGTATTTATCCTGTAAAAGTACTGCATCAGGTAGTGAACTTTACTTATCCAGTAGTGGGTATAATGCTACTTATTCACCAGTGTTTCTAATTTTACTTTCACTGTAGTGGATAGAGAACGGTATTCGAATATTGATGTTCTCCGCTGAAATAATTGTGCATGTACAGACTTGAAGTGGGGTAGAGAAACTTTATCCAGCATCGCTATTGCTTATTTGATAGTTGTGGGTGCGGAGTAAGTCAGTGGTATGGCAGTGTATAGAGAATGGTGCTTTACAGCGGTGGATAGAACATGATGTTGCCCAGCAGCAGGTAAATAATACCTTGAAGAATATTGAATTGTGTGGAGAATGATACAGAAGTGGGTATAAAGTGATCCAATCCAGTGGTGGATAGAAAGTGACATCTAACAGGTAATAAAACACGTCCAACATTGGACAGGGACTAATGAATTGAGAATATTCTAACAGTCTAATAACAATGGCACAGTTACCATGCAGCAGTGGACAGTTGAGTGATCTCATACAACAGCAGGTATAGAATTACTTCGGCATGGAGAGAGTTAAGGTGATGAGTGATCAAAGTTTGGCGACAGACTTGGATGTTTGTGGGGGTGATTGTGAAAAGTGTTTGTGCACTTTTCAAATAAAAAAAATAAAAACTTGAGTGGGAAATAAATAGTTCGGTCAACTGCAGAAATTGATTAACTAAATCATTGTACGTACATAAAGCAGAACCTTTATTGTACTTTTATTTGTACGAATTTAGTCAAATTTTCAGTGCATTTCTTCGCGCAACAGATGGCGTCTTAAGGGTAACCTAAGCACAGGTTATGTTGTAAAACAATAAACCTGGTAAACGTGGTAAATAGTCGACTCCATTGTGTGCGCATGAAAGTGAACGAGCTCGCCTTCATTTTGTAAAGTTTAAACGTGGCAAACCCTGATAATAACTTTGCTGACGCGGCGGAGTAATTACCCCTGATTTTCCATCGCAAAATGTCAACAGTAAAGTGATGTGAAGTTCACGCGAAGCTAAATCGTTGAGCAGGAGAAAAAAATCAACTCGGCACACGCCTCGCATGCACAGGTCCCTCCTGGGGCAATGTCAATTGCGTTGGTTGTACTGCCCTAGAAGTGCAGTGTTTGCATTCGTGGAGAAGTTCTGTGACTTGATGTGGTGGATAACTCGTTTAAAATGTACATTGTCTGGAGTTCAGAACATTCACTTGATAACTACGTTGGTCACAAGGTTCCCAGAAGCACTTGGCTCTGGATACAGGGGGTCACTGGCTTGAATACAACGTTTGTCCCTTTGTATGCAGGCCTGTAAAATTAGAAATACACTGCAGTGTGAATACGTATGGATTTTGAGAGAGCGTGTGACAATGTAATAGTAAATCAATCTGTGCTAACTTTACGGCCAAATTGGGAGCGTTCCACATCTAGCAATACTTAGTGACAGATTACTCTTAACTGGACATGATACCCTATTGGCAAGCAAAAACTGTTAATTTGTAATGTTTCAGTTTATGGATGACAGTTGACTTTGGTTTGTATTACATTTCTGGAACTGGTGTATTTAATTTCAAAATGATCACGAATCATCATGTTTGATAGATTGCATTGTTTAGTGCAGTGGTTCCCAACTTTGTGGTCTGTAGTCCAAAGGTGACGCAATGCCATGAGAAGTGGGCTGCAGAACCGTTGCAGATGTGATTTTTGTTTCACAAAACACGTTTTTTCCCCCGCATGGTGTTTGGCAGTGATCCACTTGCTCAGAAAGCTTGGGAAATACTGGTTTACTGGACAAGTATGGTCAATAAAATGTACTCTTTTGTATACCTTACAACTTTCCATGATTTTGTAATAATCTAGTTTGGTGGGTTTTTTTAAACTAAAGACCTTATGAGGCTAGTTGTCAAACACGTGCCGCAGAGCCATTTTGCATGACGTTATGTGTTTGATTTCCCAGCCACTCAGTGATGCTTCAGAGCTTTACCACAGCACATTATGTTCTGCAAACGTATGTGTCCAGTAAGGATCAAAGTGAAGAGCAGTGTGCAGTAGTGGTATGTTTCACGTCAAAATGATTTAACAGCCATGCAGCTAAGAACTAATGTTAAACTTTCTTCTCAATGATGCTTAATGGTTATTTTGTGTTATGTATTATATCATTTTGCGTCGAACTAGGACTGTTTTCTTATAGAAAGGGACCTTGCCTATAAACTGAGTACTTTACCAGCATTGGTTGAAGTAAGCTGACTCTTTTGATCAGACCCTGAATGTTAAAACAAGTCTGAAGTTGGCTTGTATTGAATCAAAACATGTCTTCCCTATATATACCAATTTCTCCAGTCTAAACCAGATCATGTATTGTGCTTGCATGTTGTTGGGTGCTTAATGCATAAATAAAGATCTGTTGATTTAAAAATGATTATAACATTTTGGAAATACTACATAGAAAGTGCTGGTCTGAGTTGGTGAGCAGTAATGTGTGCCTTGTGTTTGTCGTGTTCCATTTCTTTTAGGATATGACCATGAACTCAAAGTGGGGGAACAGGTGAAGACTCGTAATGCCACTTGGAGATCGTCTCATGTCCAGAAGATAGTAGGCATTAGAGTACTTATGTAAGAAAAGTATTTGTTTCATTGCACGCAACTGTTTCAAAATAAAAGCAGAACAAAAACTCTACTTGACTGTATTCAAATGATACAATAAAGACCGCATTCTTAAATAGCTGTATTATACTAAGAAGATACAAAATTAGACATCCCCTCATATTTTTCATTTGGCATTACCAAAACTAAGCTGTGTTTATCCACAACCTCTTTAAGATAATCCATGTGGGGAAAATAGAGTTGGCTCTGAGCTGCGTTGTGTCGCGACCCATGCATTGAGCAATCCTCGTGGAGCCTCATGGACGTGGATGTCCCCTTGACCCGGGCGCCGGGCATCATGTCCATGGATCGCGGCTCGCTGGGGGAGACTGAGGACGACATGACGGAGCACGAACGCAACAGCGCGGGCCTGAATTCGTGCTGGCCCATGTACCAAAGCAACTCGCACATGAGGAAGGCCTTCAAGATCATGAACAGCTTGAGGAGGCAAGATATGCTCTTTGGATATATTTGTTAATGCCAAAAGCACATACTTTGTTTATGTGAATGCAGTTTAAGTTATGCCAATCGGTGAAAAACTCATTTATTCATGCTCCCAAATCAATCCGCACAAAGTCCTATAATTCACGTGTTAATTATTTACGGCTTTGCAAGTATACGACGAGTGACGCAAAAGTGGTTGCAAATTCAGCCTGTTATCTGTGTTTGTGTGCACTATATTGAAAGGAATAATTTGTGCATATTCACCAAAATATTAGGATTCCATCCCTACAACAAATTGAATCGGAGAAGTTATACGATGCATTAGTACCTCACTTGCATGCCTGTAAATTGTATATTTCCATGTTGTTTTATGTCTATGGGCTTGCTACTTGTCACACAGGCAAGGTGTGCTATGCGATGTCGTCCTCGTAGCTGATGGGACAGAAGTGGCTGCTCACAAGCTGGCACTGGCCTCATGCAGCCCTTACTTTCATGCCATGTTCACAAGTAAGAGGACGCTGGGAATCCACCTTCACAATTTAGCATCAATGGTCAGTTGATGAACCACATTCAATACATTACATTTGCTACATTTAACACAGTCGTTCCACATAGGCCAGTTTGGCTGGTTGGTCCGGTGCTTTGACTAGTTTATCTCTTCAGTGACCGTTGCAGTGTTGTAATCTCACGAGTATTTTGTTGCCGAGTGAAAGCCCCTATAGTTTATACTCTTGGGTTATTTTTTTTCTATCCACGTGACTTTACCGAAAGAACCAAAGAATATTAATTCCTGCAGTCACGAAAGCTTCAAATCAACCCATATAGTTTGTATAACACATTTGAAAATAATTTTTACTTAACTGTTCCAAGCACACAGGTGTGATACAAGTGCATAGATTAAATTGTTTTGGGTAACGGTTACCAACTGTAAATGAAATACTACAAAAATACTACAGAAGCATGAAAGTCCCACATCAAACTGCATATAGAATGGAAAATATTAAATCCACTTGAAGTAATTCTAAGAGTTTTGGCAGAGACTTGAATAAACTAAATGATGCTGTACTGGACTGAATAAGTAGGCGTTATTTTAAATAAAGTAAATAGTTTCAGTGCAATGTATGGCATTTGCCATTGAAGTAGTATATGTCTTAGGCACTATCCATGTCTCTGCGATTAGGATTATTTTAAATTTAGCTCTGAAGATGTTAATTAGAACTGGCAGGCCATTTGGATTTTGCCTATGCCGGTTACATGGACATATCACCTGTGGATTTTACCTCTGAATAATCGCCATATATAGTTACAAGTCGAAATAACATTTTATTGGGCTATAATTTCTGTGTATGAATAAGGTGACCTATTTAACGTCGCCTACTAATGAGCAGACATTCCAGTCACAGAGGATATCTGGGTCACGCTTTCATTGTCACATCTAAGGACAACAACATAACATGTTTTAGAAGCACTTATTAGCGCTGATGAGGACCTGTAACAAGCGATGCTTGATGTACAGGCGAGATGGCGGAGAGCAAGGCGCAGAAAGTGGAGATCAAAGAAGTGGATGGCCGAGCGCTTGCCCTGCTCATTGACTACGTGTACACAGCGGAGATCCAGGTGACCGAAGAAAATGTGCAGGTGAGGACCAATGACGTGACCTGTAACCCCACTGAGCTTGCATTTTGGTATCACCGAAGCTTTGGTTGGTGGATTTTATTTATGACAATTTTTTGACAGAGGGGCTTTCATGAAAAAGTTTTCTCCGCAAAGATAAATTTGAGGATTTTAACTTGTTTAAAGTCCTAAATAATACGCTAACTGTATTTTAACATGCAAAATAATGAGTATCCATCTGACTGAAGATCAAAAAGTATAATTTTCAGTTACTTGCAACTAAGCGCACTGGTCAATGAAAAATATGAATTCTCAGTAAAACATCATTCTTACACTCGTAGTGTGAAGTATAGCTTTTCCACGATGAAAATTAGATTAATTAAGTTTACATCTAAGCTGGGATGACTCGAAGCCATCACTCTTGCTCCTATTTATTTTTCTTAATAAAAAAAATATATTGCCTACTCCCAGTTTGTGCCGCACGAACAATTACAAAATGTGTTCCTTTTGCCCATTTCTGTGCAAAATTACGTGTTATGTCAGTGGCCGAATGTGTATACCTCCTTGCAAGCACTTTTTAATTATTGCTTTTTATTGCTTGTTCAGGCCAGATGCCTTTTGTGCCAAGCTGAAGAGTTGGGTATCTGTAAACCAAACTTGTGTAAGGGCATCACCCAGCATTTGGATGACGATCAGGGTGATTTATCATTTTCCACCAAATGCTGTCACTTTGCCCGCTTCAGATTTTGCTGCCTGCAGCGAGCTTACTCCAGCTGCCGGAGGTCCGGGATGCCTGCTGTGAATTTCTGCAGTCACAGCTGCACCCGTCCAACTGCCTGGGCATCCGAACATTCGCCGACATACACGCCTGCTCCGACCTCCTGCAGCACGCCAACACCTATGCCGGTCCGTTGCCTTTTAACTTTCTCCATGAATTTCATGAAGTAAAGGTGCGCGCCTGCATCGACTGTGTGTACATGGGCGCATGTGTGCGTGTGATAAATACAGTGAATTAAACAGTCTGGATGACTCAGCTTGGATGAGAGAAGCAGGCTTCCACGTAAAGCTATCCCTCGATTTACGAAAATAAACCTAATTGACAAATTATGGACACCTTTCAATTAGCAAAAACTAATTTCCACTTGAACGTGAGGTCAAACAAGAACCACCTGGGAGGCTGCGTCATCCATCCACGACAGTGTTACGATATCCCAACAGTGCCACGATATCCCAAAAGTGCAACAGCAATGCCTCCACATCACCTTTCAAGTCATTCCAACATGCAGATCTTTTGGTGAGTTCCCCGAAAAGGTTATCTATGTTTTAAATTAATTAGGATTCAATTGTGTTAATAATTATTTCATTATTATAATGATTTTTGTATTTTTAAAAGTGATATAGGTGTATATTTTTAGTTTTGGATTAGAGTTCGAATGACTGTCCGAAAAACACAACCATTTTTTTTTATTAAATTAAGGGGAAAAGTCATTCCGATTTACTATTGTCGTTCTACGTGGTTTGTTTTTAACCATGTATCCCTTTCGTAAATCAAAGAACACCTGTAAATGGCTATGAGTTCAAATCACAGTCCAGATGACTCGGCTCATCGTCCCCACCAGGACCAGTGCAACGGCCACCACCTGGTGAGCACCATATGGTAGAAAGACAGCAGGTGGGTTCGTTAAAGAGAGGCTGATTCCATGGAAGGAATGTGTAATTTCAGCCGTTACCATCAGAGATCAGCTCTGCCAATCATTTTAGGTGTTTCATATGTTTTTAATTATAAACTGGGTTGAATATTGTAATCTAAAATAATTGGGAATGTTGTATACATTATGTGCCATATAGGTGAGGAGACACCCCAGATGAATAAAGTTAAATTAACAGTCGGTAAATGTCTCATGCTAGCTTTAAACACACTTTTCTGTGAGATCTTGGTGAAGCTTGTGGATTTTTTTTCTGGATTGCCAGAAGAACATTTTTGAGGTTATGGAAATTAATAATTAATTGTCATGACATACAGACTATTTTCAAAAGTACAGCAAGATCCTATAACAGTTATACATTGGCATCATTGCCAACGTTTGCGATGCCACTTACCATATGGTTTTTTTCCCGAATTGATTGGTGATGCTAGATTTCTTTGTGCTGAATAAGGAGGGCATCAGTCTGAGCTACATTTCAAAAAAGCAACACTTATGTTCTTTGTGAAGGTGAAGGTCTAATGACGTTGGTGGCTGTTACCTCCAAATATGAACATTGTTAATTGGTCTGTTTCATTATTTATGCTTTGTGCATGACAGTAGAGTGTTAACATGTTGACTGATCCAGAAACAAGTCTTTATTTCTATATCTCTGCCTCTCACTTTGACTGCCATGATTTTACACTCTTCTTTGCCTAGGATATAGGAATTACTTTCCGAAGGAAGAGCCGATTTCTCACACCCTTGCACTCCTTCAGCGTAGCCCTATTAACAGTCCCAAGCCATTTCATAAACATATAATCTCGTATTTTTGAAAGCTGACTGAGAACAAATGTGCACATTCATCCGAATGTTTTTTTGCTGTGTCCCATTAGCAAGCATAGTGAACCTTACATGAATTGTCTTTTTTTAATGGGCATTCTGCAGTTGTACATTATAGGTGGGTGCAGTTATTTCAGCATTTATTCTTATAGTGCACATGATTCATTCTCTATTGAACAATACTGTGCGGGCTTACTATTAATGGGTTGATAAAAAATGTGGTGAAAATTGAGGTGGGAATTTTACTTAAAACATTCACCTAAGCATGTGCTCATGTGCACTGCTTTGATGAGAAGTCTTAGCTCATTTGTAGTCACTGCACATCCCAATAAAACAACCTGTTTAGACAACGTGTAAAGACACGATTAAGTCTACAGTTATTATTTTTTGTAAGATGCATCAACTGTAACACTGGTGTATTCTGTATTCTGCTCGGACGGGGACGTAATGGTAAAATAACACACAGCGTTTACCGAGAGAAAATGCACACTAATGCCTATCTGAATACAGAGTCACACTATCACCCCGCACAGAAATCTGCTCTTATCAAGACGCTCATTCATTGGGCTAACAAAGTGTCAGATGGTGATAGTCTGATAAGTGAAATTAAACATTAAACGGTTACAATGATGCAAAAATCAACAGGGCATTGAATGCCAAGACCAAATCAAATAACACGAGCATTGAAACTGCCCAAGTAATTAAAACTATTAAAAATACCGTACATTGTGGGAGTAACTGATAAACTAGCCAGATGGAAAAACAAAACATCCGGTTCAAATTTGGCATGGTCCATAAAATACAGACATGAATATCTGGTACAAAAGATATATTACCGACACTATCAACAGAAGGTGTGTACCGGATTAATTGCACTTGTGGCAAATGCTATGTTGGGCAAACAGGACGAATGATCAGCACGAGACTAAAAGAACACCAAAGAAATATTAAATACTCTCAAATACAACTGTATTTGCGGTGGTTCTCTTACATTGACATGCTAATCTCTTACAATACAATGGCCACCTCTACAGCTTTGTTTTCCTCAATGTGGCGGTGGCACCCGGTTTTCTTACATTGACATGCTAATCTTACATTAACAGATTGACATGCTAATCTCTCACAATACAATGGCCACCTCCACAGCTTCATAGTCGTGGAGGTATATCAGCTCTCCGATCTTACATTTACACGCAAATTCCATCTCTAACCCCGCCCACTTACCCTTGGGCTACACCCATCTCAAACCTTTATAACATCCTGCTTCAGCAGCTCTCAGCTCTCCCGCTAGATTTTTTCACCTGATGACGATGGCTTGTGTTGCGATCGAAACGTCGTGATATTTTTATTTACGTGGCTTAACCGAAAGACCCAAAGAATATGAATTCCTGCAGTCATGAATGTTTTAAGTCAAGATCTAGTTTTAATTACTGGCGAAACGTCGTACTCAGATTGTAAATGTTGTGGCTTGACTCTCCAAAACACCGATGTGCTGTACTAGTGACGAATTGGAATGTTCTGTTTACGTGACAACCCTTACTAGTTGGCTGTTTTTGGTGGTGGTGGGTTTAATGACACATTTAAATATTTATGCGATCTAACCCAAAAAAACTCTTATGAACACTGGTGTATGTTGGTTCAATCACAGTGCCATCACATGTAGAGATTCAAGTTCAGCCACAGGCAACCAAAACTGTACATTGCCCTCTGCTAGAAAGTGTAGTCATGGGTTTTGGTGGAGGGAGGAACAAGGCTGTCTTAAACCTCCCTGTGAGTATTACAAGTATTCATCATAAGTTTACTCTTTGAAAAGGTGGATTTTTTTCAAAGACTTAATAAGTTGATGGATTTGTAAGTTTAAAATAGCCATGCCTAAAAGTGACATGCCTGCTATATGTGTCAACTGCCAGTGGGCCTGCTGGGTGTGTCTGCATTGGCATCCCACCTGCTGCGTGCTGTGCACATTAAGACCTAAGAACACTAGGCTATGCACTCGTACAGAAGCATGTTTCCCAGCTGTACAGCAACCCAGAAATAGCCTTTATGTGTGATGAACGTTCAGCTTTAGTAGACCAGGTGGTGTGCTTTGAACGTGGCAGGGATCTTCACTGTTAGATGGAGCTAATGCAAATCTGATCAGCAAAACTAAAGCATTCTGTATGTGTGAGGAATCCTATCATAACAAACAGCCAGTCTTGAGTCTTGTACTTTGTCAAAAGCTTAACCTCATCTCCAAACCGTACTATTACATTGTGTTGCCATGTGTAATCCCAATTCAGTATTCGGAACGTCAATATTCAAATTGGGCCTTGGTGCCGGTACACAAATGGCTCACTCTTTTAAAATTCCATCGCAGGATCTTTAGCGTCTACTATGAAGCGGACTGAATCTGTTAGAGTTAATAAACCTGCAGTAGATGCCGGATTCAAACCGCTAACCTCTCGAACAAGAGATGAACGCACAACTGCTGGGCCCATGTCATCACCCATGTAAACACCAGCACACGTTGTTAACACACACTACCAGTATATTGAGCCACTGACAATGTGTATTCTGGGTATGTGAGCTGCTAACATTCACCCTGCTTTGCGTGTCCACAGAACAGCACTTCTCTGACGTGGTGCAGGCAGAGGAGTTCCTCTCACTATCGGTGGAGCAGGTCTGTGACCTCATCGCCAGCGACAGACTGATGGTCCCTTCAGAGGAAAAGGTACGACTGTTGCTGTTATAAAAAAATGTACATATACAGTGATCCCTCGTTTATCGCGGTTAATGGGGACCGGAACTCCTCGCGATAGGTGAAAATCTGCGAAGTAGGATTGGCCCCCTAGGAATTTCTGTATATGTGTGTGTGGGTACCAGAATGTTTAAAATATGTATATTTATACTTTATGTATATATTTTACTTAAATCTATTTAATTATAAAACCTTAATATTATACATTCACTCTCTCTCTCATACGATACGTATTATGGTGTTCTACACTCACCAATGACAGTAGTATCTTGAGACTTGACTCCAGTAATGACGACGACGATGACAATGACGATGACAATGACGATGATGACAGACCTGTGCAGTTCGGGAGGGATGGGGCTGGGTGGGGAGGGGCTGGTCACCCCATGGTGCCCTTATACAACTCAACGTTTAACCTACTCACGCCAGCTTGTGCCCGCCCTCACAGTCGGGCATATTTGCGGAATACACCACGCCGCCGTTGAACCTGGCCATTGACCAAGCAACCCAACGTTCCTACCAGCTCCCTCCGCAGGAATGTGTTTTGGTGTTTTCCATCATTAATCCAGTGCTCAGAGGCAAGGTTTGCTGGATCACATATAATTCTGACACTACCCTGTATGCTGGCTGCAAGTTGGCCAGGAGATAGCAGTACAGCAGATGGGTTTGTCATTCTGCTTTTGACCTTTGAGTGTTGTTTCCTCAAATGCATGGTATTTCTATGGATATTTCGATTTACTCCCACCCACCTCTAAAGTACTCCTTTGAAATGAATTCACCAATCATTCCAGTCGAGAACCCTCCTGATAAAGAGCCCGTTTTCTGGAGATATAAATGAAATTATTATTATATTGCTGATCGTGATAGAGGTTGTTCAGGTGAGATCTGTTGGAAGGGGATATCAGTGGTTGTTGCGTTAGGAGCTTATGATGATGCTGGTGACATTGGTTTGGAGAGGCAGCTGTGGGTGACGTGACTTTTTCTGCAGGTGTTTGAAGCGGTACTGGCATGGGTGAACCACGACCGCGAGAAGCGACAGGAGCTGATGGCTAGCCTCCTGGAGAATGTGCGTTTGCCTCTGCTCTCTCGCGAGTACCTGGTGGAGGTAAGCCCCATTATTCCTGTGCCTTGTCGTTACGTTTGAGCCGTAAAAATTGGGTTTGTGTTCTCTCGCGGTAGCGCTGTATCTTTCTCACACTTAATAGGATAGTCGGCATCCTTGCAACTCGGTACGTACACAAATGAGTGTTTCGAGAAACTTTCCCAACTTAATTTGCATGTATCTGTGTCAGCCTGGTGGGTAAGCATATCTCCAGCACTCATTATCTTGGCTTTTGTGAAGAAACGATTTTAATATACGATTGTCAGCTTGGTATAAAAGCAAGGTTATTAAGATATAGAGTACAAAGCTGTTTTCAGACCAATCCAAAAGTAAAATTCTGGCACAATCTTCAATTGACTGGCAATGCCTGACAGTCTTTGGTGTTCCTAAAAGTGTCTTCTAATTTATAAATAGGTCATTGGCTCCTATGCATTTTAAAACTGAATGCTGACCTACATAGGTATTGGCCATGGTAAAAAACACTAATCTTGGAGTGTAATACATTATTCAGCTTCCTATCTAATGGTAGAAAACTCAATTCCAGGAACCTATTTTGTAGATGGTGACAAACAATATGACAAACCTCCTATGATTGCACAAAGGAATATATCCTGGACTAGAAATAAGTACTTTGTGAAAAAATATTTTACAATAATTTGGCCAGGTCATATTATCTTCATACACAATTCTTAATAAGTTGTATTAATCCGGCCCACTAGTTGTTTCTAATTTTTGCTTATTTTCATCTATGAAAGCATTGGTGTTATTTTTAAATTTCCTATACAGTACGTCCTCGTTTAACGCCGAAGATGGGTTCCTGAAAAGTGCCGCGTCAAGCGAAAACATTTCCCATAAATAATGTAATGCTAAAGTTTGTCGAGATACAATGTACGCGCACACACACACACACAGTCAGATGGCAGGACAAATATCTGAGGGTACACCGCCACCTCACTGTATCATTCTGCATACTGTATCCTAACGCTCAGATGTGCAACTCAAGAAACTAGTTCCTTGTCAACTGCTGAGAAACAGTGTTATAACAGTGCACGTTCTATGTTGTGCGAAAAGTGTTCCCTGGTGGAAGAACCACTTTATGGTGACTATGTGCTGTGTGAACACGCATTAAGCGAGGACTCACCGTACTTCTAACACAACGTTTCATGGGTTTACTTTTTCTTCTCCAGGAAGCTCGTCAATATTTGCAGAGCAGGGGCTTCTGAACTCTATTTATGGCATCCCCTCTTGGTTCACCTTTCCAAATGAATCAGTCTGTATAATTCCCTTGCATATTAGGTTATTACGCATTTCACCTATCTGATGATTGGTTCAAATGTTAACCTTTACCTTAGTGGGTGCATAGGATGAAAATTGAGACACCTTACCTGATACACTCTCTTCACTCAATCGGGCAAAAGTTTTCCAGCAACTGAAAATATAAGTGATGAGATAGGAAAGAAAATAGGTCGATATGTAAGCTTCCTTCATTTATACCAGGTAACATAGCATGAAGATATATCTTCTTTGCAAGAGATATGTGGAGGAAATATTTTTTTGAAATATTAATTAAACTAGTGGATTTAAAATCCAGGAATAGTAAATCAAATGCAGTCCATATTTTAATATCTGTCTCATTTCTTCTATATGAAATAAATCAGTGCACATTGATTACACTAGTTCTGTTTATTGTTAGATTTGGAAAACCCAAGGGGATCTAGTTTCGAAAGCCTTAAAATGAGAACCACTGCATGTGATTCAGTAACAGTTTAAAACCAATTTAAATCTATTGATGCTGCCAAAGCAATTCATGAGGAAATGGTTGCAAACAGCTTTTCTAAATGAACACAGGCTGCTGGCCCAAATTTCAATTTGGCTTTTTGTAGGAAATGGTTTGGTGCCTTTGACGAGCACTGCACTCATCTTGGCAGCAGAGGAGCAATGTTCCCGAGCTCGGTACTTGCAGAACTGGTAGATTACCATCCAGACACATTTGACTACATTACCCAGTGAGTCTTGCTTTTAAATTACAATAGAAAATTCATTTTGCATTCTTACAGTTGACTAGTTGTACTCTTACCTGCCATAGCATAGTTGGCTAGGTACGGTGTGAAAGAACGTCAACATACCCACAGAGCAATGGGGGTAATTCTGAAGTCCCCCATGGATTGACTTCCCTATCTGCCAATTTAAAATCCAAACATCAAATATCTCACCATGTTGCGGTAGTCATCTGTGATGCGAACACATAATATGCAAGTTTAAGTGCAGCTAACCCAAGAAGGCTTTAACATCCTCTGGATTCAAATTTCACTCTTCTCTATGACTGCTCACTCTTTGCAGCACGTATCTGAACATCAATGGAGCACACTTCATGGTAATATGATACCATAAGCAGGGTTTGCCCACCAGCAATGAACGTATTTCATGTAAATATCTAGATGTGTGTACCCACAATTTTCACACAAAGGGCCTACTATATTTTTGGAATGTTTAGCCCCTTATTTCTGAACTGGTCAAATGAGTTTGAGGTAGGAGCTCTCCCCTCCCACTATACTACCTCACATTCCAGATTTTCTACTGCAGTGTTTCTATCCAAACCTAACAGCCTGGTCCCAAATGTACCTGCATTACTCTGCTGATTTAACTGGAAAGAGAACAACTATAGGTATCCAAACACAGGCATCCCCCAATATTCTCTCATACGTATTTGTATCCTGTCGGTTCATGGGCTGGTTTTGTGCATTAAAGTTACGTGGGGCTAATACATATTCAAAACATTTAGGTTGATAGTTCATTGGAAGTTCAAAGACAATGTTGCTCATTTCAGCAACAATTAACCGTTTGTTTGCAGTTTATTTAAATATTGCAAATACATTTCGATTTAAAGCTTTCGTGACTGCAAGGATTCATCTTCTTGATTCTTTCGGTAAAGTCACGTAGAAGGGAAGCAATAAAATAATAAAAATAAAACATAATAAAATAATTCTCACGACGTTGTGGCCGAAACGTCGTGAGAATGATTTTATTATGTTTTATTTTTATTATTTTATTGCTTCCCTTTTACGTGACTTTACCGAAAGAACCAAGAAGATTGCAAATACATTTTAGCAATTGTTCTGTTCTGCTATTAGTCTACATAAGGCGTGGTTGCATACTTTTCAAGCACTGACCCGGCTTAGGTCCAATCATTACTTGGCGGTCGGGATCCCATTGAGCATAGATATTCTGGCTGTACTATTACAGGCTGATCAGTAGGAGGCACTCTCTCCATTGTTCTGAGTGTCAACCAATAGTGACAGTTATCAATTCAATAAAATGCTATGGGCACAACAACAACAACCGCCATTCGCCACTAAGTGGCGGTGACGTCACCACGACGCTTGTGCCAGGCTCTGTGCACGTTGAGGCCACGTGAAGTGTCGAACGCCCGCTGACAGGAGGTCACGGGGCAGACCCAGGTGCTACGGGTTGACTGACTGAGATGACTGGCTGATGCACCACCTGTGCCCCCTGCTGTGCCAACTTGCTTTGCTTTAGCCACCCAGCGCTCCGCTCGTTGTTGCGAGTGTCGCTTCTCCGCCCTCCGTTCTTGCTGGAGGATGACTGCCTCCAACTGCCCAGTAGCTTCCTTCACGAGCCTCCTCCACAGAGGCCGATCCTGACACTGCTGGTACCAGTAATCGGCAAGTCTACTCAGCTCCACATCCTCCTGCACCACATCACTCCATCTCTTTTCTAGCCCGTACCGCGCCCGTTTAGCCCCCTCTATCCGGCCGAACAAAAGCTGTTTAGGCATGCGGTGACTGGGCATGCGGGCTATCTGACACAGCCAACGCAGCCTTGCCTGCCAGAGGAGCTCACCAATGGGACATTGTCCATATCTTTCAAGGATTTGTGAGCTCCTCAGACAATCCAGCCTGGTTAATCCCAGGATGGATCGTAGGCAGGCCAGCCTAAATGTTTATAACTGGCAAAGATGTTCCATTAGGGGGGGTCCACGTTTTGCAAGCATAGAGAAGGGAGGGAATGACCGTGGCCGAGAAGACCTGAAGCTTCATGTGGAGCGACAGACCAGGTAGCTTCCACACAGTGTTACGCAACCGATGAAAAGATAATGCCTCTCGACTGATTTCAGAGTGAGACCTCTGCTGTCAAACCGGAGCCGGTCATGAGCACACTGCCCAGGTATGAGAATATCTCCACTCTCTCCACAACTACCCCATCACCAATTGGGAGTTGTGGGGGTGCAGTGTCCGATGATACAAAATACCCAGGCAGGTGCCTAGTTTTGATGGGGCTGATGGTAAGGCCCCCACCTCTTAGTGGCACGCTCCGGGTTCAGCAGCAGCGCCTCCAACTCCTCCTCTGAGTGAGCAGCAATTACCAGATCATCGGCATACAAAACGTGGTTGACCAATAGGGAGTCATCCCTTGACCGCACCTGGGCATCGATCAGCCTCCCATTGTATCTGTACCAGATGGAAATTCCTCCGCTATAGCCATCGAAGGCTTCACGAATTACGTGGTCGAAAAAGATGTTAAATAATGTGGGAGCCAGAGGACATTCCTGTCGCACCCCAAGGTGAACAGGGAATGGCTCCAACTCCCGGCCACGTAGTTTTACCTGGGCCCGCTCACCATCATGAAGGTCCTTAATGATCGTGAGCAGAGGGTCAGGGACTCCGAAAGCATGAAGAATAACCCAGAGCCCAGGCATACTGATGGTATCATAGGCCTTGACCAGGTCAATAAAGCAGAGATGTAGGTTTTGTTGTAATTCCTTACACCTCTGCTGTAGCAGATGGACAGAAAATATGGCATCTGTGCAGGACCGCCCTTTCCTGAAACCGCATTGGGGCTCTGCAAGCCTCTCCTCAGCATGCCTGGCAAGGCGATGTTGAATAATCCTTCCCAAGACCTTTCCTGGTACACTGAGGAGTGAGATGCCCCTTTAGTTACAGTCTGTTCTGTCCCCCTTCTTAAAGAGTGGGACCACCAAGGCATCCTTCCAATCCTGCAGAACCCATCCAGTGGTCCAGACTGTTATGATGTCATGTAGGGCAGTCTGTGCACAAACGTCACCCTCCCTCAGCATTTCGCTTGGGAGATCATCTCTGCCCGGTGCCTTTCCTGGTCTCAGACTCTGGATCGCCTTTAGTACTTCACCTCAGCCAGCCACTCACAGGAGATGAGTTCTTCCAATATTTGAGACACCGCAGCTTCAGCAGGGTCATCCCCACTTTGTCCCACGATGTTTTCCATGCCGAGGGATTTCCCCTCCCCCAGGACTTCACAGAAATGCTCACCAAGAATAAGTCGACATTATAGACTACCAGTACACTCACCCAGCTTAATAACCATTGCTACAGTTTACATTATAGACTACCAGTACACTCACTCCGATTAAGAACCAGGCTACAGTCTACATTAATGATTTTTATTTAATTTTAAAAAAATTCTACGTGACTTTACCGAAAGGACCAAATAATATAACACATTGCAGTGCCACTTAATGGCATCTTGTCCGGCAGGGGGAGCATTACAATGACACAAAAATATGGCGTGATATTTGTTGCACTTTGATGCGTCATAGGTATTAAACATGTTCAAGTATAAAAAAAAATATTTGCTGAATTTCAACATCATGTCGATTTTTTTACAGGTTGTGGCTATTGAATCGACAATAAAAAACACAACAGTTTTATATATTTCGATTTAAATCTTTCATGACTGCAGGGATTCATATTATTGGTTTTTTCGGTAAAGTCACGGCTGCTTGTGTTGTGGCCGAAACGTCGTGATAATTGTATTACACTTTATGTTTATTATTTTATTATTTCCCTTCTACGTGACTTTACCGAAAGAACCAAGAATAGATTTATATATGTATGTTCAATTTAGGTTGGGTAGTGTGTGAGATATGTTGCTCTGGACTGGCAGGTGCACACTGCGTGCAACTAACCATGTCATTCTATTTGTTGCTGTTTTTGGTTATATTATTTTACTTATTTCATAACATGTATAAAGAATCAAATCTAGCAGCAAGTATGATGCCATAGCCCACAGTCCATGTGCAATACATCCCATTTATCAACCCACTGCTGGGTGAGGGCCTCCCCCACTGTTATGCAAGCAGTGAAAGCCACTTGACCATACTTGACCACGCTGGTTAGTGCTGGTTGATGAAGGTGGGCGGAGTACAGAAAACAAAAAAAGATTGTGCTGCACTGCCCTCTGCTGCCAACATTACCCACTACACCTATTTTGTTGCTAGTCGTCACCTATCCAAGCACTGCTGCTTTGCTTTAAAAAGTCCGATGGGATTGGGCTCATTCGGTATGGTGTGGTCATCGGCACACATTGTTTACAGTACTAAATATATCTGAATTCTTTGGGTCTTTCGGTAAAGCCACGTAGATGGATCAACTAATAAAAAATAATAAAAATAATAACAATATCACGACGTTTCAATCGCAATACAAGCAATCGTCATCAGGTGTTAAATATCGCGGGAGAGCTGCTGAGAATATATATAAGCTTTAAGTCAAGATTTAAATATATCTGCTTTTGCTCAATATATAAGCACGTTGTCTTATTGTTGGCGAAGGCTTTGCTAAGCTATCTGCTTTCTGAACTATGTTTATTTAAGTTGGGTCGTAAAAGCAGCTAGGGGAGGTTTTATATTGTTTCTTGGGAATGTAGTCTCGGAATTCTCTGACTGATTAATAGGACTGATGCGAGCGGAGGCACTGCCTTGACAGAATAGCTTTCATGTAGCTACAAAGGGTTCTTTTTATTAATGATGAAACGTTCTATCCCAAAGTAAGCCCATCCAGCAAATTGCCGCATTCCATGTGTACATTAAACATTTCAACATTTTGTGAAGGCACAAGCATGATAATATTTAAGCTATTTGTCAATTTACAGTCTACTTAATGATACATTGCATTATAATTGATTGAGGATTCAGTCTTCAATATATTTTAGTTATACAAAAAAAAGTATGTGCATAACTGATACTATAAGCGGACAACAAATCCATAATCATACTTAAACGATACATAAACAACAAATCACCTTCCATACTAATTTACACCTCCGTCTTGCCAAACATATTGAATCTCAGTAGGCTTCGCCAGGGTTAAAGAGTCCGTCAGCATCTTTATAACCAGGCGACAGTCTGTTGGGTGTCATGCAAGGAACACCTGAAATAACATGCAAGAAAATAAGGTAAAGTATTGGTGTGTTGGTGGGGGTTATCAGTGTTGTGGCACAATGCGTTTGTTTACACTGTCCTCCTGCAGCTGTTTCACTGGGTTGTGCTGTGGGTTGTGCTGTGGGTTGTGCTGTGGGTTGTGCTGCCACCCTGCAGCGTGTGGAGGAAGAGAGTCTGGTGAAGAACAACAGCACCTGTAAGGACTTCCTCATCGAGGCCATGAAGTACCACCTGCTGTCGAGCGAGCAGCGAGCGCTCATGAAGTCGGACCGCACGCGACCGCGCACACCTGTGGGCCTCCCCAAGGTGAGCTCTAGGGTATAACGGTGTGCATCCATTCACCGACTAGGAAATAATGATAAAGGTGCAGCCAAACAACTGCTTTCTCACATCACTGCTGGTGGAAGGGCCTCCAATAGAGTGAGCTCTAGAGAGAGCCCCTTCAGATGGTATTTGGCCTATTCTTCCATGCTGACCAGACATCTACCAATTGACTGGTGTATTGGCCATGTTTGTTTATTATAGTACGGAGTTAGACTGATGGCCTTAATCTAAGTTGTCTTCTGGTTGTTGTTGTTTGACTTGCATCCCACTGGAATTTTTGCACACAGCGTTGGTGTGCGGTGCTTTTTCTGCAATATTTTGCTGTCTTTTCTTGGATTTTCTGTTTGCACATATTCACATAGTCACTTTAAGATGTTTTCTTGTTCATGTTTTTTGTTTGTTGCGGTTGCACCCGATTCAAGAGCCGAATGGATCACAGGGCTATACCAAATAAATGAAACTGAAAACTGAAATTAATTTATACCGCTGGATGAACAGATGGGGGCAGCATTCTAAGAATCATCAACTGATATAGATTATTTATGCTCACAAATACATGCAGAAAATCGCTTGTCTAGGAATCAATTTTTTTGGTGCTGTGTGGAGCATTGTTATTATACATTACCGGCATGTTGGTTATACGGTTGGAGATTAATATGCTTTTGACCAAGTAATCTTGAGGCTAAAGAACAATATCATAATAGAAGTGTGTTCACAGAATTTTTCAAAAACAAATATTAACTTCAGTGAAGCAAAAACGCCTTAAGAGAATTGAGAGCAAATAAAGATATCCAAATCCTTGCTGCTGTTAAGGGTCGATCGACTGTTATGATGCCCCGTGAGGACTATGATAATGCAATCAAAGATTTACTCGATGAAGGTACCTACCTTAAAATTAAATGAGACCCAACCAGTACCATGGAACATTAAACAACGACAATCAATTAACAGCACAAAAAGCAAAATGAAATTCAGCTTTTTTTTTAAACATTGTCTTTGTCTCCCTCTGCATCTCTCCCTATCTGTTCAGGTGATGATTGTGGTGGGTGGCCAAGCCCCCAAGGCAATCCGAAGTGTGGAGTGCTATGACCTCAAGGAGGAGAGGTGGTTCCAAGTGGGTGAACTCCCATCCAGGCGCTGCAGGGCTGGTCAGCAGAACACACATGCACACTTGCTCACAGGACTCATTTACCCACTCACTCATACGTGTGCTCACCGACCAAAGCACTGGCACACTTGCTGACGTGCCTTTATTTTCAGAGAGCACATTTTACAATGCTGCGCTGTTATTAGTTGCTCATTATCAGCCGAGTAATGTATAGCCTAATCCTGGGCAGCTTAGGAGCTATAAGTGATTGCCTTGAAGCAAATTAAACTGAAATGCTGCATTCACTCCCTTGCTCATATCATTGCTTATTCTCACCTTCTAATTTACCTACTCGCACGTTTACTCAATCAACCAATCAACTTATTCAATGCTGGCACTCAAGATTTTGCTCAATCCTGTGGCATAGAAGTGATGACGTAGGTTTAAAATAGCTGGTCACTCTGGGTGCATGGTTTGTGCGTGATTGCATCTGACCACATTTGGGCCAATCGCACCTCCAATAGAATTCTGATCTTGATTGGATCAGACCCATGATTTGTTAAATTTATCATTCTGGGGTAAAATCCTTTTCTGATCTGTTTCTCGGGATTTCATTTTAACAACTGTATGATAATGTACTATTCAGTACTCCATTAAATAATATCAGAAACATTAAACTATTTAGGTATGCAAGTCAAAAGAATGCACTTGGACTGAGAAGCAATTTTGTTTATTGACATTGAGACTATCCCATGACGACCACTGTCACTGTAGTGTGGAGCGTCAGATGCCCTGTGTTGGGATTTTAGGGCTTAGTCTAGAATTTCATGAGCAAGGAAAACTTTTTAATTAATATTCTCTGTCAGTTTTTGCATTGTGTAATGTATGACTTTTAAATAAATATATAAAAGTGCAGTCATCACTTGGGAATTGAACCCAAGCCATTGCTTGGGTTCATTACAGCAATGCTGGACATTAGGGGGACAGGTTTATGCACTTCGTGGGGGTCTTTATCCCATTAATTTTGTATTGCAGTTTGGGTTTAATGTTTAACATCATTCTTTTGGGTGAGCTGATCATGCAAAGTCAATCAGGATGTGACCGTGATTTTTATTAGGTCACATGCTGATCCATGCACAGTCTGTTTAATTCTGAACTGGTTTATACACTTTCTGCTCATCATGTTCAATTTTTTTTTACTCTCATATGTTTTTACTTCTTCAAAGTTATAATCAGCCTGTTTACCAATTATATGTCTTATTCACTCTACTTCACTGCCATTTTGTCTTTTTTCAGTGACAGTACTTCAATAAGGTGCAGTTCTTGCCATTTTACATGTACCACTTTGATGACATAAAAAAAATATGTTTGTTCAATTTCACCAAGAAAAATTAATACTGTAATATTTGCTCAGTGCATCGTAAGTTGCCAGCATGTTCTATCACAACAAATCAACATCGGTGTATGCTTACATATGCATACGCTGAGAATTTTGAAAATCTCAAACCTTGCATCTGGGTCACTTTCTGATTTACATGCTGTACAACTCGGATATTACAACTTTCACATGAAAGGTATTGTTAAAGAGATCATTGTTAAGCACTCTCACTGCAAGTATCTATGCACCAGACTCTCCTCTGCTTTAAGTGTTCGTATAGTCTAATATCTATGCCAGCTGAGACTAGTTTAACAGCATTTTCAGTAAAACAATCTCAGACATATTTTAGGTGGAGGATATTGCAAAAGTATTACCTTCTCACCTCCCAGTCAACTGGAATAAGACACATTTTTTGTCATCTTTTTTCTGGCGAACCATTTAAATTAACAGCATGCAGCGTGTGCTGTCATTTCCAACACAACATTATAAACTGACCATTTTGCTGAGAGCCTTAATTTTCAGAGAGCACATTTTACAATGCTGTGCTGTTGTTAGTTGTCCATTATCATGCAAGTAACAAATAGCCTAACCCTGGGCAGCTAAGAAGCGAAGTGATTGCCTTGAAGGAAATGAAACTGAAATGCTCGGTGCTCTTAAGTGGACACATGTCTAAGTGCAACAACATTCATTGCACGCAATTATTTTCTTGCATTTGGCAATATGTTCGGGAGATGAATGCCAATGTTGAGATCCGATAGCCACACGGGCTTCCGGAAAGTTTATGTAGTTTTGCTCTTCCTCTATTGAAGAAGCGCACACTACATTGCAGATTGAGAAAAAAATTAGTGGAACGCCCTTACTGGCTCCAAAATGTTCACTTCAGTGGGTTGATGGGAAAAACGCACTGGAGAATACACTAACTGCATTGACTCTTGTCCATCTGAACTACACAATTAACTACATTTTTAGAATTAGTTGAATGCTAAAAGTTTATTATAGATGACAATTGTGGGAGATATAGCCAAAAGGCGGCTTCAAGTATTTTTGTAAAATTTATATAAATGGTGCACAAATCATTTATTTGTAACTATGATTTGTAACTGCGTTAGAGCCTTTATATGTTTCAACTGAGGCAAAAATGTAAGAACATTTAAAAAAATGTACTGCTTTATTATTCAATATTGTAGCCCCAATTGATGTAAAATATAGTATGAAGATGTTTATCGATAAAATATAATGTACGTAAACATGAGTCTACAAAATACAGTTATCACAACCCTCAGTTGGTGTGACCTCTCATTAACAGCCTTTGTAAAAGTTTTACCACACTGCATAAGTTCATCGAGTTCATTGTTATTCATTTCCACCTTACGGCCACAGAGTTATTCATGCATAGGCCTCAGCATGCATCTAACATCTTGGCATCCTAGCAGTGAAGTATTGTTAATTTAGTACTCATTATTTAGATTTTGGTTCTAGTCTTAGTCTGGTCAACAACCTGTAAGAATTTTGACTTAGTCTGTGGGTTTAATTTAGTAATTCTGCATATGTGTGTGTGTGACTGCACATGTGGGGTGCGGTAGTGTACCAGGTTAGCGTTACTGCACTATGAACTCTGACCCGGGTTCGATTCCCGCATCACGACCAACACCAGTAACGAATATCTGAACCAGTCATGGGCCTCCCCTCGTTCGACTCGGCCTCAAATGAGTACCTGGTTTCGGTGTGTAAACATCACCACTGGGAGACAAAAGGGTGTTCTGGCCTTCATCAGTGCTCACTAACAGCACTTGCCCCAACAGTCTTTTAATTGCTATACGGGGGATCTTTGTCTTCACCTGTACATGCTGACACAGGCGTGGTGGTGCTCAACGGGATGGTGTATGCGGTGGGTGGCTTCAACGGCTCCCTGCGCGTGCGCACCGTGGACGTGTACGACGCGGCCAAGGACGTGTGGCTGGCGGCGCCCAACATGCAGGACCGGCGCAGCACGCTGGGTGCCGCCGTGCTCAATGGCGTGCTGTATGCCGTGGGCGGCTTCGACGGCAGCACGGGTGAGTAAGCGGCTAGAACCACAACGGCAAAATACGGTGGTGTCGCACGGGGTGGCGGTGAGAGAGAGTGGTAGCTCCCATTGGTGCCTGTTCATTTCACTTTGCTCAGCACCATTTCGGCTTCGAATGTTCTAAGAATAGGCCATCCAATTATAACCGTAGCCAATGTTAAATTTGGCTTCCAAAGCTGAAATATTTAACATTGGTTGGACATTGCTTTACTTACACTGTTTGTTCACAACTAAGACCGGTAATGTTAGCCTTGGCCAAGACTCAACACTCAGATGGGTCACTGCAAGTGGCTTCAGTCAATGATCTTTGGCATTTACATTGAATCAGCCACACCAAATTAACTCATTGAAGTTCCCAAGATTAGCGAGATAATTGTCCAAGGCTATCCTCCATAGTTGCCTTGTGTGTGTTTTGTAGTTGCATTGTATTTGCTTTACCCGGTTTTTTACATGCATGCTTTTATAACCCAGGTCTTTGTTTAAAAATAGATTGATAGTCTCATTGGGATCTCATGTGGTTTAAATAAACATTGCGTCTGCATGTCATACTCATTCATGCCTTGTGTTTATATCCAATGTGGGAAAACTAACATCGTGAGAGTTACTTATTCACAAGCTGGGTTGTATCGGAGTATTCCCATCACGTGAGGTCCATATATTGTATGTCATTTGCAGCAATGAATTTTGATCATTACTTTACCTGTATTGGCGGGACCATGACCTGAATACTGGCTCATTTTATGTTGCAAATTATCCTTTTGTTTTAATATCAAGTGAAAAGATAATTAAAAATAACAATTTTGGACAATCTGTTTATACTTAATGGCATTTGTACCCTGGACTAACCATGCCTTTTCGACAGCACGAGAAAGTGAATTTTGCCATTCACTTAGTTAATTGCATTGTGTGAAGATATATCTGTCTGAATAGTCAGCTTGCATTCACGTTTAAATGCATATACTTTAATCCCTTTTAAGATTGCATTAAGTGGTTAAAAGCAAAGCAATCATTTGAGCAGTACAACACAATGTAACCACACGCATATGCCAATCTGTTTCAAGGCGTGCTGCTTAATCAGACAAGTGTCATGTGTCCATCGGTGAGAAGACGTTGAGGACTGCAAGGCTGTTGCTGGCTTGTTTTCCAGGGCTGGCGACGGTGGAGGCGTACAACTACAAGACCAACGAGTGGGTGCACGTGGCCTCCATGAACACCCGGCGCAGCAGTGTGGGTGTAGGTGTTGTCGGAGGTAATAACTGGCGTGACGAATGCAGATCGTCCCCTATATTGTGCAAATTAATCCAAGGCATTAATTACACTCAAGTTTTGCGGGGTTTTTATAGTTAGATTGATTTGGGGGGCGTAGCTTTGGTTGCTTTAGAATTGTATTAACCCACTTTCTTCAGTAAAAATTGGAAACACTTCAGAAATGTCTTCTTGGTTCTTTCGGTAAAGTCACGTAGAAGGGAAGTAATCAAATAATAAAAATAAAACATAATAAAATAATATAATTCTCACGACGTTTCGGCCACAACGCAAGCAGCCGTCCTCATGTTTTATTTTTTATTATTTTATTACTTCTCTTCTACGTGACTTTACCGAAAGAACCAAGAAGATGAATCCCTGCAGTCACGAAAGCTTTAAATCTAAACTTCAGAAATGCATACAGTTTGAGATTGGATCTGATTGTGACCCAATAAACATTGGGTCACATTCTGAATGGCTAATCGGATGCTTGTTTTATCTCAATGTGAATTTATTAATTTTAAAGCTGCAGGAAGCATGTCGTTGATATTTGTTAACCATGTATTTACAATTCGATTCACAAAATTATTGTTTTTGACATTGTATAGAATTGTAATCGATAAGTGACAATTGAATTCAAGAATATATTATTATGCTGCATATTGGAGCTTTAGTCCACACCTATAATCCAATGATTCGGAGGCAGAAGTTGGTGGATCACGTAGAGAGGAGTGAACATTTCAAACTCACTGTCATGGTATCAGCCCCTATTCCAGCTGGTGGCGTACACCAAAATTGTAATTTATACGTATGGCCGATGCCTAGTGCATGGAATTGGCCCAATAGCAATAGTCCATGTGTCTCTCCTGGTGGGCCCAATGGTCCCAGTGGTAGTCCCGATGGTTTTTATGGGCCAAATATTCAGCCAGGTGGTGCCAAGTGGAAATCACGGTGGTCTGAATAGTAATCCACGAGGTCGCAGTGGCGTTCCTGGTGGCTGATCCCGAAACCTGCCAGTGTGCAATTGAAAATGTTTAACTCAATATCGAGCATATGTTTCAACGGCCATTGCACTAGGCCAGCCAGGCTCCATGAGTCCTCCCATCTTGCCTCATCAACACCTTGGAATTGTAGTGTAATTGGGTAAATTTTACAGACTAGGTAGGAATCCCAATCAATCAAATGGAGATTTTAAATATATATTTGGCCATAGAAACATGACCGTTCATGTTGGCGTCTCTCAACTCTATATACATAATTACAGCAAAAAATACCGACAGCTAATTAACATCCAGCCGAGTACTTCTGAATGTTTATGGGAGAATTTTGAGGCTTTTACTCTGAATCAACCAAAAATAAAGCAAAACATTGAAGGTTCCAAGCCTTCCTCAGCAGTTGCCTTGTTTCCCCCTTAGGCAGATAATTGTATATTCCATCAGGGGTCATATATTCCTCTGCAAATATGAGATTTATATGAAACTAAAGCCTTTAGTTGTGATATCCAGACATTTAATGTGCAAGTGCATTTTCTAAATTATAAAATGTTAATCCCTATTTTCTGCAATAGCAATAACGATGATAATATGTCAATTTCAAAATGAGCCACACTCCTCCAATGTGGATCCCTGCCATATCACAACCTCATCACTCATCACATGCCTAACAGCCAACAATCCCCACAGACCCACATGGTAAGAGATTGGTGTATGGATGGGAACTCAGCAGCCATTTGTTAAATTGTTATGATTCAGGGTCACAATTCGATTGCAGAATTTATTCATTTTTGTCCCGTCTTTGCCGTCTCATTTGTACTGCTATTGTTTCTGGTTCAACTTAATATCGAGTGTATTTAAGAAACTGTGTGTCACTGCAATTTGTCTAAGTCACACAAGACAATCATTAGTAGCCGTATGATTAATTGTTAATGCCAAGTTCTCTTCAACCTAACTAAACCAACCTAGATGCTAAGAATAACAGAAGAAACATCGCAAGCTGCTCTGTATGGTTCCATTGTTCACTTTCAAAAGGTGGTTCATGCATATGTAGCTGTTCTGATATTTGCACATCAGTTAAATGAACAGTTGAATGTTATTTTTGCAAATTTGTGTGCACTTACAATATTATATGTTATCATTTGGTCACAGAAGTAGGCTATTCATGTGCTATTGTCTTGAGTGTATTTGTACAGTGATCAGCAATTGCTAAACTATCAAATTGTTTCGTTTTCAAGGGGTTTCAAGGTTTAGCACCTACTTGCTACACTAGGAGATTATCTTTAGGCTGAATGTGCACCAGGAAATGCTGTCAATGTGTATAATTCTTTAATGTAGCTGCTGCTTAAATGCTTAAAACATTAACATTCATCACCCAGCTTTGGCATTGATTGTTTGATAATTGTATTGCTTTATAGCAGCACGGCAACATGAGTCAGTGTATGTTTAAGTTGCTGTTTTCATTTTTTTAAACTGCTTTTTGTGTTTAGTTCATTGTCCTTCCCCCATGCCTCTAATTAGCGTTTGGCTACATACAGTGTGAAAGAAGTTCAACATAAATATATGCCCCCCCCCCCCCAGTGTTCAAATAATGTTTGATTGCCTGTGTTCGTGAGCACTCTTTGTGTACCACTTTGTTTCCCTAGTCCCCTGCCTGTGCTTTGGCTGAGTTAATATTTGTACCTCGTTCTCCACTGTGCCTGTCTGCCCTGCATTGCATCACGATGCTGTCAGCTTACTCTTGTCAGATAGACTCGAGTGTCTGACCTTCGGGCATTTTCATAACACTCTGAGACTGCTTGCAAAAAAACGACGAGAGAAAATGGTGTAACGTCAGATTTACTGTGAAAGCAACCACCCAGGTACATTCGGTACTTGATCATATATTTTTTTTATTTACCCCCGCTTGGAGCTATACTTTATGCTTTGCGTCCATATGTAGCTTACTTCATGAATAGATGTGCAATGTTATCTGTTCTGGCAGGACCATGAGTTAGGACAAAGTCATGAAAATCGGGCATCTTTATTTCCATTTCACATATTTGTGTGAACTGTGCATTTTAAGGATATCAGATTTATTTATTTTTTAGAACAATTGAGTTTTGAATTGTGTATGGCCCTAGTAGAGAGGAATGGGTTTAAAATCATGCTTTATTAATGCTTTTACAGACTGTTCTCTTCAAAACGCAATACATCCATTCAGCAGCTGTTTACCCTTTCCAGTGTGATGAGAATTGTCTGTACTATGTTTGGCTTTCCATATTCACACTTGTGGCTGAGGCATTTACAAGTGCATGACTCAATCCTGATGATTCATATAGGTGTTGTTGTTGTAGAGTCACATCAGAATTCCAAATGTACCAGGCTGCAATTATGTTGGCCTTGGGTTGTGTCATAGATTTCTCCAGATTTTGATTTTAAGCACAAGTACATTTATCCAAAGCAATAAACTGTTTGTGTGTGCGTGCATTTTGAAGCAGCAGTGTGGAATGTAGCACACTGTACAACAGTTAATTTTCTCAGTTTTGAGTATTTGCCAACCTTGTTGGTCACATTGAATAACTTCTATCATGGCTCTGTGTCATTTGAATTGGCTGCTTAATTTAGGTGCAGTCATGCAGGAGCATGTTAGCTCAGCCAAAAATAAGTGGCTGGTGTGTCACGTCAACAACATCGCTGGTTCAGTCGCGATTTTAATGCCTTGTTTCCCCATGACTTTTGGTAACCAGGTTCTCCAGGGCCAAGGCTCTTTGGGCTTGGTTCTATTACCACCTGCTACTCTTCCTCTTTATACCTTCTGCAGTCAGGGAATTAAAGTCAAGACGATCTTAATGTATATTTTCTTTTTCGATTTAAAGCTTTCGTGACTGCAGGGATTCATCTTCTTGGTTCTTTCGGTAAAGTCACGTAGAGGGGAAATAATAAAATAATATAAATATTAACAAAAATTCTCACGACGTTTCGACTGCAACACAAGCAATCATCATCACGTGTGAAATCCACAGCAAGAAATTTTTCTCACGACAACAACATCGCCGGTGTGGATTTCACACCCAATGATGATTGCTTGTGTTGCAGTCGAAACGTCGTGAGAATTTTTATTGTTTTATATTTATATTATTTTATTATTTCCCTTCTACGTGACTTTACCGAAAGAACCAAGAATATGTATATTTTCTTCTTGCAAAGTTTTCTTGAGGTGTATTTTTTTTTCATATTGTTACTATCAAAGCCTGGAAGTTGAATCAAGTGAGTGCCATAACGGCGCTTGCATCTCACTTCAGCATTTACCCCTTGACCTCACAGTTGGTTCTGGGATCATCTGAGCTCTAAAGTTGGTGGGTCAATAACCAAGCGTGGGGATCGGGGTTTCAAGTTCCCATGAGATTAGTTTGACATCGTGCAGGGCTGCTGTGGGGAATTTAGCTCTTGGGGCCCAGCAGGGTGCAAGAACCAAACCAACAGAGTTACCACTTGCTGTGGAAGAGAGGTAACATAGCAGATATGATAGACATGGTGCTGGCTCCATCAGTATCTTTATATACTGTCATCTGTTGTGGCCGAAACGTCGTGAGAATTTTATTATGTTTTATTTTTATTATTTTATTATTTCCCCTCTACGTGACTTTACCGAAAGAACCAAGAAGATGAATCCCTGCAGTCACGAAAGCTTTAAATCGAAACAAAAAAAAAAGTGTTAACTAAGTTTATTCTAGCAGTCTAAGAAAATCGTTGTCTCTGTGTGTATGACAATTGAACGCAGGAATTCTGTATGCTGTGGGAGGATATGATGGAGCTTCTCGCCAGTGTCTGGGCTCTGTGGAGGCTTTCAACCCAATCTCGAATGAGTGGACGTACGTAAAGGAAATGAGTACTCGCCGCAGTGGAGCTGGTACGGTAATACATGATTGCGTCTCATTTGTGCACCTGCAGTAACAGATTTATTTTATTCAGGAAAGGCTCACTCACCTGAAGCTCGAGCTCAATTTTCACTTGTTTGGTTAGATGTTATGCATGTCAGAAGAAACTGGACTACCCCAGGAAACCTCACACGTGCAATGGGATAACACTTAAAAGCATTCTTGTTCCAGCACCCTTCAGCAAAAGCTTTACTTAGGGGCCATCCATTCAGTACGTATGGAGGGGGGAGGAGGGGGTTAACCTAAATGTGTAAGCTTGCATATGGGGGGGTCTACTGACAATTTACGTGCGCATAGGAAAGGAAAGGGGGGTGTGAAGCCTCAATAATAATGAGTTAGATAGTCTGGTGGTGGACTATCTGTTTGCTTAAACACATTCATATTATTAATCCTTGATCCTTTCTGCTTGGATTAAATATCGGGTGTTCTTTAGGATTTGGAGGGGTGGTGCGTCAAGCGTACGTACGCAGGTGGGGGGGGGGGGTGTAAAAAGTACGCGTGCGTACAGGGAGGGGGGGGGGGTCAAGTTTTGACAGATTTTTGCGAAAGTACGAAATGGATGGTCGCTTATGATAACTTGAAACACATTTACTCGATATTTACAAAATCGATAGGTAATGTCCTACTTTGGAAATAAGAAATACAAAATTACCAATTATGATGAATAACCTCTATGTACTTTTAAAACAATGATATTGTATTGGTGATTGTAAATAATTAGTATTGAGTATCTCAAGAAAACATATTAAAGATTTCGCAATATAACTGAGCCACATGAGATGTGAAAAATGTGACAGATTTTATTCTTCTTAAATTGCCAATTAATGTGACGTTAATCCCCACTGCAATTCAAGCGCCTGCACATTTGCAGGCTTTTGGGAAATCTAATGTTACTATCTGTGATTACGAATGTGCAATTTGTTACTGTCATCTTCGGTTTTATGTTATGGGCAATTACGCAAATGTTTGTGCCCACTGCTTGAGTGAGCTCTACTTTTAATGTCGTGATCAAGTAGGAAATGTCAACAACAATACTTATTTTCATGCAATTAACACTATAGTCAATGAAAAAGGGTAGTGCATCATTAATGTCTGTTAAGGCTATCTTGAGTCTTACATTTTTTTCTTGATTTCTGAATAAGTAGCTTTGACACGTAATGTGTGAAGTTTGCATGTATTTCAAATTTAAAAAATTTGTTCAGAAGAACAAAAGAAATACAATCATCCTGGTTGTCTTAGGAATTCCAAATGTATATGAAGCCAATTATATAATTTACATCCTTCCTTTGTATATTAGTTCACTAATTATACCGCAGTTATAAAGACCAAATATTACCAAACATTAACACACTATAAACCACATCTCTGATGTTATCTCCAGTATTAAATGATGGTAGGGTTAGTACTGTACAGTTTACGTGATGTTAATTTGGTAAACGTGTGAATAAAACAAACACAATAATCTATATGATTTGACACAGGTGTTGGTGTTTTGGATGGACTGCTTTTTGCCGTGGGTGGACACGATGGGCCACTGGTCCGGAAGAGTGTAGAGGTGTTCAACCCGCCCACCAACTCGTGGCGGCAGGTGGCCGATATGAACATGTGCCGGCGGAATGCAGGTGGGTTTTGAGGATTTGCATCATACTTAACCTCGGCAACCTTGTCTGCACGGTAGCGGCACACGGATGGAGCAGACACTTATCATTCAGAACATGCGGAACAAACAAGATGGGAAAGAAAAACAGTGCGCGGTGGGACTGAGTCGCCAAAAATGAATAAATTAATTACGATTTTGGCTTCCGTTTATTCGGGACCCTGGGGTCCCGCCATGGGGTTCAAATATCCAATAGGGTTTATATTAACCAATTCCATGTCTTTTGAAATGAAATGGTGTATGAATTAAACAAACAATGAGAAATGAAGGTGAAAATTTAAGGTGATGAAGTAAGTACACCCCTGGTTTCATTAGCTCAATTAAGGGAATAATAGAATCACGTGTTTTAAATAATTAGGTAGATATTCAGGGATGAGTTTGGGAGGCCCCACCCTATATAAAAATCAGACGATTTGTGAGTTTGGTCTTCACCATACAGGTGTGTGGAAACAAGTCATGCCATGATCAAAGTAAATCTCTGAGGACCTCAGAAAATTAGTTCACAAACTTTTTCTTGGCACTGTAAGCTATGTTTCAAATTACTTCCCAAACCTGCGAATGACCTAAATAACAGGTTAAGCTGAAGTAATGTAAATGACTCCAGGTTAATACAAGTAATACCGTGAACGTACGCTGCGATTAACCCCTTGTGTCGTCTCGCCACCGTGTGCCCTGGCAGGCGTGTGCACGGTGAACGGGATGCTGTTTGTGGTGGGCGGCGACGACGGCTCATCCAACCTCTCGTCAGTCGAGTTCTACAACCCCAGCGCGGACTCGTGGACCCTGCTGCCCGTGAGCATGAGCACAGGCCGCAGTTATGCAGGTGACTTATTGTCTACGCTTACGTGGTGGTTCCCAGTTATGCAACGTACCACACTACCATCCTACACGAACTTTGTGGCCTCCACTCAACTGTTCTTGCTGAGGGACGCTGTTGGTTTTTGTAATTGAAAGAAAAAAAAGTTCATTTTATTTCAAATTAGGAAATGGCAATTGGATGAGAGAGAAGAGCTCCCCATCCACCACCACCCCCGCCCATGCCTTTAGAGCGCAACGGAACCTTCCCATACCAGAATCCCTGCTCTACCTTCGTAACTTCCGGCACTACGCATGCCCCCTTAGTTTTGTTTTTCTGCCAAAACTGCAAATAGCGGTTGCTTTGAGCCTTTGCTTTAAGCAGCGCTCTCAACTATCAAGCTATCGAAAACACCCAAGTGAAATTTCCCATTTATGGGGGATGCGCTCTCTGGCTGAAAGGCTGTCGCTTAAGCCGTGGAGGTTCAGATGTCCACTGGGCGGCCTTTGCGTCCGGTTGGGCAATTTAAGGTTTTTTTTTTAATCCTTTATATTAAGTTCGCTTGCTTGCGTGCTTGCGTGCTTGCTTGCTTGCTTACGACCGTGCAAATCTTTCGGTCGTTTTTTAACACACTTCCCGTGATCCAATCGAGCTGACATTTTGCACACAGACTCGTTGTGCGTGACAATTAATTTTCGTGAAATGTTTGTTCCAAAATTTTCCACTTTTTAGGGAAATTTTTTTTTCATACTTAATTTAAAATACCAATGTGATAAAAATGAAACTCTTACTCAAGAAAAACATAAATGAATAATAAAATAAAACCGATGGCACGCATATAAAGGATTTATAGTGAAAAACTTTGTTTTTACGGGTTAATTTTTTCCTCTTCACCTCCACTGTGGGAAGGTTCGAATTTTTTTGTATTTAGAGGATGGGAAGAGTGGTGGACAGAGCTCTTCAACATGCCTCTCCTCCCATCTCGTTTGTGCATCCTAATTGTAATGGAAACATTTTAAATCTCCTAATTAGTGACCAGTGTGTGTCAGTGTGTGGGTGGACTGAGGCCTGACGTATTGTTTAAGGTGTCATTTGTGTTCGCATTAGAAAGCTCTGGGGCCCTTTGCATGTCAAACAAATGTTATTTTTTAGCAATCGTGTAGGTGCATGTACATGAATACACAGGCCAGTTACACTGCTGTGTTGGTTAGTGCTTGGACAGAAATTACGCTGGTAACTGCGCACTCTGATGCCTAAACAGGCAGTAGTTCGGCAGTTGCATAGCAATTATGACCAAACTCTGCATCTCTGAGAACAATTACTATAATTTCTGCTTGTCGCAACTATTTCAATGCCAGACGCATCTGATCGTCATTTTGGATATCTTTTGCAGTTGCTTTAGAAATAATTGCATTCAGTCGTCATATGTAAGATGGTGTTGTTTAACTGAACTGAAATGCACACTATCATTAACAAGAGTGCTTTTATTGCAGGTGTTGCCGTTATAGACAAGCCATTATGATCAACAACAGGTCCAAAGGCATTCTTAACACATCTGAGGAGCGGGAATAACCATTCCGAAAAGGATGGGTTGTTCTTAAAGCCGCTCCGAGGCTAAGTACATCGCATGGTTGTCAGCTCGTGAAAGCGACACGCCCTCTCGGCGCGTACAAAGCGGAAGAAACAGGACATCACTGCCAAGCAGGTGCCTCCTAGGGTCAAGTTGACAAGAGAGTGGTGGTTATCTTAAACACCACTGTTACGTGTGATTATATTATCGATGATGGTGAAAGGTAACATGACTTGGGACCATTTTTTGAGCACACCTTTTCAGAAATGGAAAATGGTAACCGTGCGGATTTTTTACGAGTCGATAAACACGAGTGTTCATGGCCACTAATGATCAGGCATGGAGCTTTTAGAAATGTTCGTTGGTTTTGTAAATTTATATAAGCTTTCTACAAGTTTTGTATGCAAGAGACGTGGCAAATAAACACTGGCTTTGATTTGTATGTTGACATTTAAATCATGAACATCATTTGCATGTTACACCATTACCAATATACATTTTATATATTTTTTTTATAACCAACAAAGGGATTCCGTACCTATAAACGTGTTTTTTTGTTGAAGTAAATGATTGAATCGTATTGAAATTGACCCAAGACAGTAGTTTGCAAGAAATTGTTAGGATTTGAAATTGCAACTTTTTGCATGGCTAGTTTTTTGATACAAACCTTTTAAATCTGACATTTAATTTGGAATTGGGTTTCTTTAATAGTTTCCCTATCTCTACGTTGCATTAATAAATTTCACATTGTAAGCATGCAATTCCACTTCAGTGGCTAGTTGCAAATAATATCTCACGTGACATTTTCTCAGTTTTTAATCCTAACCAGTACAAACTCAGGAAAATTGTCACTGATAAGGTCTGTTCTGCACTCAGCCACAGGCCTTAATTCTATTTTGATGCGTAGATTTGCCAAAGTAGACATTTACTGTATATTTGAAAAACATTCAAACTTTCATACTTTACTGTTGAGTAAGTGAAATAAGAATGTTGGGAGCCTGTGATGTGGACTTATGTAAGCTATATTGACATTCCTTGTTTATTGTAAGATTAGTATTTATTTGTAAATTATTGCAATCTGTGGCAATGTATAGAATATACAAAATATTTTTTCCCGAACTTATTGCACAACTTTAACCCTTTCCAGTAGCATTTAAAAAGTTTATTTTATATTTTTATTTCTAAATATATGTATTGTGCCCATTTAAGGTGCTTTAGTTTAGCGGGTTAAACGTGCTCCAAAATTTCACGTTTTCAAATGAAGTACATTCAGCGATTTGGCCTTGGCATGAACCTTAAAGTGCACGTATGTTCCAGTCTCGACGATCGTGAAGTGGAGGTTAGTGCTGTGCCGTATACAGCGCCACTGCGGGCGGTTGCGGTCTCCAAGTGGTGACTCGTTACGATGCATGCTCGGCTGCCATGTTTATGTATTAAATGCTGTGTGCGCAATTAATCACATGCGCTAGCAACATTTGTTATTAGCATGCAAACAAAGTTATAATTTATCAAGTAGAAACTTGTGCATTGTTCTGCGTGCATGTTTCTTTAACAAGGCAATGAATCATCCTCGATTAAGGTGTTTCGTATATTGGTGGACCTTTTTTCCTGCATCTCTACTCCGAGATGAATGAACATGCCCCATAGCCATCTCTCAGGATGACCTCTAACGTGGGGCAACCCCAACTTTAATTTACATGCACCTTCGGACAAACAACATTCCTCGAAACGTGCTGTTTTTCATGCAAGTGTAAGCAGTAGTAATGCTCCATTCATTAAAATGTATTCTTACAATCTAAATGTGCATGTGGTAATAGCTTATTTTCACTCGCGTATGTTTACACCGCTATAGAACATTGATACTTTATATTTAGAAGCACCACCAAAAAAGTAATTTGTAAAGCAGATCATGACCAAATCGTGGAAGAGTCAGTCTTTACATCTTTCGTAGGCTATGATTCATATTCTAATTAGCTGTAATCAACCAATTGAAACTGCATGCAAAAACTGATGAACAGTATGTTTTTCCGATTTCCAATTTTATTCCAATGGTATTGCCGTTGAATGTTTTGATTCATAGTATTTATTAAAATCACTCCGATAACGGCCCACAGAAGATATTTTCGAACTGCTTTACAAATCCCTTTAAAGAGACCATTATCCAGTCGAGGGCGCACTTGCCCATGTGCCGTGCTACCGAAACGTACATGTCACCTGGAAGTCAAATCGAGCTGTAATTTAGCCACATTTATTGAAACTCCCAGATGAATTGAATTATTTGTGCAGGCATTGGGACCAGGCTGAGACCATCAACTCATTGCACTTGATTACCCAGTGTAATCTTAATTTTCTGCCCAGGTGTCAGAGGTGTTATTTCAGTGCTTTGGCCCCTGAACCACTCAAAAAATGTGTACAACCTTGTTCTTCGATTCCCTGCTGTCTTCTGTGAGAGACGAATTGGGCTGAATGAAACATTTTCACCTGTGCCTGTCTTTCACCAGCTTCACGGCTTCCTTTTCGCCCTTATAGTTCTTGATGCCAATCCAGGGCATCATTTGACCTCTTTAACTAAATTGGTTATTTTTATGTAAAAAGAGTTCGTGATAGAATGGCAAGTTGGCTCATGTTGGAGCCTGAGGCTCATTCGGATGTTACAATGCAGTTATTTGTACACGTTTGCTATGTGTGAAAGGATTGTACTGACAGGGAGTTGCATTTTTGCAGTGTGGACAATGCATGCATGCATAGTTGCACATCTTCATTGACTGCTGTTAGCATCTATTGATATCCCTCACTACTACGACATGCAAAATGGCTTGTAGCTTAGCCTCAGATTATTTTTTGGAAAATACATTTGCAAATAAAAAAATCAATATGTATTTGCCTTCAGCGACACAATTAAAATCTATGATTTTAATTTAAAATAATTAAATAACATATCCTTTTGAAATTGTTCCGGAAATACTTCTAGCAACAAATTTACAACTGTGTTTTAGATATTTAATTGCCTTTAATGACTCGTTGTTGGCACACTCAGTCCGTAGCTGTGTAGTTATCTGACCTTGTTGATTGGTAAAGTTAAATAAGTGATAATGTTACAATACTAAGGGCTCCTTTGTTCAACGCCAAATGCACTCTGTTAAACCGAACATTCAGCTGTAACGGTATATCATCGTTCAATATAAATATTTAGAGAGAGAAAATATTCCACTAAATTAATATTATCCTCAAACCATAAAGGGTAGTTCTAATAAATAGCTGGCACGGCAGTTTTTTAAGATACTGTGTATTTTTTTTTACATTTGTATGCCATGTGAAAGCAGTGAAATTACATGCATGAAATGGCTTATGAAATCACTGCCAGAAACATTCACGTTCTTGATTCATACGTGCTTAAGTACAATTTTCTACTTTTTAAGAGATTCAAAAACATGTGTAAGCTGTAATGCAGTTTTGATTGAAGTTCAATAAACTCTTTACACATTTCATGCGAATGTATACATTTTTCATTTAGTCTAAATTGAGTGTTACTGAAGTTACAGGTGTTTATATAGTTGACAGCAACTTGTATAAGTATCAAGGTGTGTGTGTGTGTGATAAGAATAGTATGTATATGGGAAGCATATGATGGAAAAGTAGGCATGCAACACTTTAATGACTAAATTGATGTTTACAGTTCAAGATGCGCATTGAATGAGTACGTGTAGATTCGGCACGTTCCCCTTGAATTGTTCTGTCTCTGCCTCGTTTGTGATATGCAGTCTCTTCCGTACTGCATCGTTTTTTTACAATTTCACCCGTCTGGTATGTCTAGTCCCGTTAGTCTTCGTCTCCTTTGTACAGCCTGCCTAGTTGGTACTTTTTGCCGACTTTTGTAATTGTCTTTTCCAATGTGTTCGTCTTGTTAGTGCCGTCTTCGTTGCAGGTTTTAATTACTCGTGGAAAATGTCCCGCCCCCCTCCCACTCAACCCATCGAACCCCCGACATTGCAGGAGGGGGGCGAATATTTTCCAGAACTCGGCCCCGGACAGCTGCAGCTGAAATTAAAGCCCCGCTCGTTGTTGTTGTTGTTGTTTGGCACGTGTGTTTTGTGTTGTTCGTCTCGTTGTACTGCAACTATCAAGGTGTCGTTTATTTGCTGTCTTATCTATGCTGACTAATTAGCTATGCCATTTGTACTGTCTTGTTCGTTTTGATAATTATTCCAAAGCAAAAAATAATAGCAATCCCTTTGAACTGAAAATAGCATCTATTATTCAATCAATTTCGATTTAAAGCTTTCGTGACTGCAGGGATTCATCTTCTTGGTTCTTTCGGTAAAGTCACGTAGAAGGGAAATAATAAAATAAAAATCAAACGTAATAAAATATTTTTTTTATTTTATTACGTTTTATTTTTATTATTTTACATCTGGAGGCCATAATAAAAACGTAATAAAATAACTTTTTATTTTTTTACGTTTTATTTTTATTATTTTATTATTCAATCGTAACAATGGAATCGGGGTGAGGATGAGGTTGTGAACTGTTACGTGTAGTTATAGGTTACGTATTTACATGCAGTTAACTTTGCGAAACGTTCTGTCATTTTATTACATGAGCAACTTCAACCAGAAGCTTACACCTAGGCGATTTGCGGGGGAAGTCGAGGGGCTTTCATCCAGCAGTGGATTGACCACGGCTGAACACGATGCAGCTATCATTCCTGGGATGCCGACAGTCCTTGACAAGTCACGCCGTCAATCGGTGTCCAGTCATTCGCAATCCACTGCTGGATGACGTATATGCCTTTACACATTGCCTCAGACGTGACACATTGAATATTAATTCCACCCCTGAGCTATGATGCCTCACTCGTAAACACGTTCTGATGTAATCGCATAGCTCGAGTTTTCGAGGATGTTCCGTTTTGAACTTAAGAAGCTTCTGGGCAGCGTTCTTGAGCTGCAATGTTTGCAGTTGTAATGATGGTTCAAGTTCATTTATGAGGTATAGCCCTGTGAGCCATTCGGCTCTTGAATCGGGTGCAACCGCAACAAACAAAGAACAAAACATGAACAAGAAAACATCTTAATGTGACTAAGTGCAAACAAAATCCAAGAAAAGAGCAAAATATTGCAGAAAAAGCACCGTAAACCAACACTGCAAAAATCCCAGTGGGATGCAAGTCAAACAACAACCACAAGACAACTTAGATTAACAACAAACCTGGCCAAACCAAAAAACTTTTCGAAAATCACCAAAATAAAGCCATAAAAGCAAGCCACGGTAGCAGAGTGGAGCGGTTGTGCACTGGTTAGCGCACTGCGATCTAAACTCCGCGACCGGAGGAGGATTCTTGGCCATGGATGATGTAATTGAAGAGATATTCTTAGGTTTTTTCGGTAAAGTCACGTAGGTAAAAACATAAAAAAGTAAAACAAAATAAAAAATAAAAATCACGACGTTTCGGAGGCAACACAAGCTTCCGTCTTCAGGGGGTACCGTCACAGACACGACAGCTGTATCAAGTAAATGAGAGATTGCAGGAGCTACCACTCCGTTTATATAATATTATATAATAAACGGAGTGGTAGCTCCTGCAATAAACGGAGTGGTAGCTCCTGCAATCTCTCATTTACTTGATACAGCTGTCGTGGCTGTGACGGTACCACCTAAAGACGGAAGCTTGTGTTGCCTCCGAAACGTCGTGATTTTTATTTTTTATTTTATTTTACTTTTTTATGTTTTTACCTACGTGACTTTACCGAAAAAACCTAAGAATATGAATCATTGCAGTCACCAAAGCTTCAAATCTATAATTAATTGAAGAGAATTGTCTGAGCTATTCCTACACAACCCCATTCACTAACCAGCACTGACCAGCATGGTGAAGTAAGGTCACTCGTATCCCATGACCGACATGGCGTGGAGAGGGCCTTCATCCAGCAGTGAATTGTAGATTAGGATTACAACTTTACATCTAAATGGTGCAGTAATTAAATTACCATTTATAGTATGCAAAACAGCACAAATGTGAATTACAAAATCGATGTCTCAAGCCATTGTTTGGCACTTCCCCACTACCATGCAAAAGACGATGGTGACATAGTAACTAGTGTTTGTAAAAGCTCATGACATTCGAGAAGGGCTAGAGAACCTACATTTAGCACATGTCCGTGTTTACGCTTTGTGCGAGAAACATCTCCGAACAAAAACATACAGGAACTCCTCTTCTTACGAACGAGTTAGATTCCAGAGATAAGCCACGTGTAGATTCCAAACATGCTGTAGGGCATGGAGACTAACCACGGGGAATGGCTTTAAAAGTTGTATAATCTGTAGATGCCACTGGTTCTTCGTGTTCTATTGTGCGGTGGTTGAACTTATGACTCTCGGTCTGAACAAGCAACTGAACATACGGACCGGGTTTGTTCGTATTTCTGTAGGTTTGTAAGTCGAATGTTCGGAAGTAGAGGAGTCCCTGTGTATCATTAAGAGGGTCCGGTGATGTAGCCCGGTGGCTGATAGAGAATATAGTATTGTCATCAGTAGGACAAATATACCAAGTTTGCAGTCGATACCACATTGGGAAGTGGGTTAAAATGGAGTTACAAGATTTGAGGATACAACAACAGAGTTAAAAGATTTGAGGATACAACAACAGAGCTAAAAGAAGGCGTGTAAATACATAAAGTTTACAGCGCCCACTGCTCCCCCATTCACCAGCGCGTTCGAGAACATGCGGGGGGTGTAGAGGGGGGGGCGATGGGGGGGTAGAGGGGGGGCGATGGGGGGGGGCGATGGGGGGATACGGGGGGGGCGATGGGGGGGTAGAGGGGGGGGCGATGGGGGGGTAGAGGGGGGGGCGATGGGGGGGTAGAGGGGGGGGCGATGGGGGGGGTAGAGGGGGGGCGATGGGGGGGGCGATGGGGGGGTAGAGGGGGGGGCGATGGGGGGGTAGAGGGGGGGGCGATGGGGGGGGTAGAGGGGAGGAGTGATGGGGGGGGGGTAGAGGGGGGGGGTGATGGGGGGGTAGGGGGGGGGCGATGGGGGGGGGTAGAGGGGGAGCGATGGAGAGGGGGGTAGAGGGGGAGACGAGCGGGGGGGAGGGTAACTCCGCCCACCCCTCCAACACCGGCCATTCACTACTGACGATGGTTTACGTCACCACGGCGCCTGTGCCAGGCCAGGTGCACTCACAGCCTCTCTCACTCTCACACACAACACAGCGACCCGTGACGTCACGCCGCCGCTTTCCCCGACACGCCACAAACAAACAAAAAACACATGACGTCATCGCGCCGCTCATGACGTCATGTATTTTTTTCTTTCCTCACCGCCCACTAACCCCGCCCACTAGCCCCGCCCCTAACCCCGCCCACTAGCCCCGCCCCTAACCCCGCCCACTAGCCCCGCCCCTAACCCCGCCTACTAACCCCGCCCACTAGCCCCGCCCCTAGCCCCGCCCCTAACCCCGCCCACTAGCCCCGCCCCTAACCCCGCCCACTAGCCAATGGCGGCGTGAGACGTCTAAAGCGTGCGCGCGTCCCCGCGTCTCAGCCGCTGCTTCTCGAAGGAGGCGGAGGCGGAGACGGCGCTGATAGCGGCGACAGCAGCTTCAGTGGCTACGGGGGGAGGTGGTGTTAGTGGTGGTGGTGGCGGCTACTACCGCGCTCGGTCACTCGCTCTGCTCTGCCCCGACCGACTTGGCCAACACCCGCCGCTAAGCTGCTGCATGCGGCTGCTGAGAGAGCGGCACAGAGCACCGACGGACGGACGGGTAAGTGGCATTGGGGGGGTGGGTGGGCTGGTGGTCGTGGTGGTGGTGGTGGGAACGCCTCGACACGGCAGAGCTGAGCCGGACAACCGAGCCCACAAGCTGGTTACATCCCGACACGGACCAGACACCACCACCATCACCTCCACCATCACCACTTCCACCATCACCACTTCCACCACCATCACCACCACCATCACCACCTCCTCCTCGATGTGATGGTGGAGAGTGGCGCTTTTCTGGGTATTCGGGGCGAAACGGACTAGCTGCTGGTCTCGCTGATGATGATGATGGAGCTCTCGGTTATTGTTTCACTTCTTGCTCTCGGTGTTTGCTTGGTCTTCTTACGTCGTAGTTCTCGTGATCTTGAGACTGACCTCTTGACCTCACACCTGGGTCCTCTCTCCATGGTCTTTGTGGCTTATCCCTCTGGAGGCCAAGTTGTATTGAACACCGTTTAAACAAATAATGATACTCCGTTAGTTTGTTATGTTAAAGAAGTGGAAATAAAATAAGGAAAGTCCTCTAAAAAAATAATATTGCTGTGGTTTTCCCACCTGATGACGATTGCTTGTGTTGCAATCGAAACGTCGTGGTTTATTTTATTTTCTACCTACGTGACTTTACCGAAAGATCCAGAGAGTATGGATTCCTGCAGTCACGAAAGCTTCAAATCAAGATTAAAGTCCTCTCAGTTTATTTTATTCTACACGGCCACTCGGTCCTCTCCGTGATCCCCGTCACCACTTTATCTCCTATTCTTAGGTTTTTTTCGGTAAAGTCGCGTAATTACTTTTATTAATTTAAATTTTTTTTACCTACGTTACTTTACCGAAAAAACCTAAGAATATGAATCCTTGCAGTCACGAAAGCTTCAAATCTAGAACACTTTATCTCCCTTGCCCTACCTGGTGTCACTGGATGTCACTTCTGGTCTCTTGGTGCCAGTCCTGGGCCCCTCAATCCTCCTGATCTCTTCTCGCTGTGACCTGCTTGAAGCTTCAACCCCTCCTATTTATTCCCACGCCGACTTCGTGTGCTGTAAGCTGACGGGTGAATGGTGTTGTGTTGGTACTATGTATCCCTGGCTGCAGTATTATGCATAGCAGTTGTATTGTTGTTATCATTGTACTGCACTGTGTGTATGTGGGGTTAGAAGTGTCTTTTTATTATGGAGAGACTGGTCCGTAGCCATGGAAAAGTCCAACACCCCAGGTTGTAGTGTGTGTGTTCCCTACACAGTTACAATGGAGAATAAAACACTGCTTTTTGTATTATTCTAGACTTGAAGTTTTCGTGATTGCAAGGATCCATACTCTTGGTTCTTTCGGTAAAGTCACGCTTGTGTTGCGCCCGAAACGTCGTGTTTTGTTTTATTTTATTTGTATGTTCCCTGCCTACGTGACTTTACCGAAAGAACCAAGAGTATGCTTTTTGTATTGTTACTACAGTATAATTACTGTATCTTGTTTGGGAAAGTGTGGAGCACCGGTCCACACTTTACCCAACAACTCCAAGCCAGTTAACTTGCGCCAGAGGCAATGTTGGTGTTTCTTGCCTGTTTGTTTTAAAACTGCCTTGTTTTGAAATTGAGTTCATGCATTCTAACTTTTGATTATTTTTTAACTTGGAATCAAATTTGGCATTTAGATTTCGAGAATTGTTTTGGTCTAATTCTAATACCAAACTAATAATCAGTTTAAAAAATATATATACTCGCCAAATAAACACATTTAAGACTTATTTGTGGCTGTCTTTATACCGCGACATCACTCTATCCTCATGGTACATCAGTCAAACGCATCCATCTGTTCCTCTATTTACTTGGTAAAATGGACAAATTACACTGCAACCATTTCTTGATTTGTAGCAATGGGTAGATGGGGTGGTGTGACTCAGGAGATGTATGTGGCATCGGGGCAGCTGCAGCTCTGTATTTTTCTAAAGTTGATTGGTTATTTACGTGGTGGATTTACAAAAGATCACTCCTGTAAATTGGATGTTAAAGACCATTCTTTTGACTGTCATTGTGCTCCAGAGTCATGGTTCAGTTCAAAATTGGATTTGACTCCTAAATAATTATGCCTATGAAGTAAATAATTATTTAGGAGTCAAATCCAAAATTGGATTTGACTCCTAAATAATTATGCCTATGAAGTAAATGTTTCCCAGTTCTTCCCTATTAAAGAGGTTATGGCATCCAACAGGTTCTCTCCTGCTTTAATACAGAAAATGTAATGAATCAGGACTGCAAAGCCCATTACTGGATATATTTGATGATGGACCATAATAACTACTCTGTTAAAATGAAGCTTCTATTTTAAAAAAATGGTACTTTGCAATGGAATTTCATCATCGTGAAGAGAAAAAAAGGTTTACAAAAATAGAACGGCTACACTGAAATTGTGCTAAATAAATAGCAACATTCAAAGCCGAGTTGAACAATGAGACGTCATTTTACCAAGTTTTATTCACAGTGACATTGGAAGATGTTTATTTCATTGGGTTTAAAAAATGACGGCGTAAACTGTTATTTAAACGGCTACAAGGAATTGTTGAAAACAAATATAAGCCTACAAAGTGTGTCTCATGATGAATGCAAGAAAAATGAATGCTTTGTTTTCTAAACGAGTGTTTGTTGGATCGGGGCCAAGGGGATGAAATGAAGAGGCAGGAGAAAGAAGGTTTGCCTGCTTTTGGAATACTGAAGTTAATAATGAAAAGCAAAGAACAAAGTTTGTACACCAACAAAGAAAATGCAGCAAAGGTTGAACGTGTATATAGGGTTGCTGGCTTGGAATCACACTTGAGACGAAAGTAAGAACATGGATAAGACAACATATATTGCTTAGAGACATTGACATTTACTCTTATTAAAAATGGACTGGAGCAGAATAATCCACGATAAGATTTTATGACTCCTGGTTGAGGCTAATGGCAGTGGTTGTGAAGGGAACATGCCCGTGAGAACGTCCGCCGAGGAGATGGACCAGGATCTTGATGGATTATTGCATGAGAGGTGGTGGTGGCTTGTGGAGGCCTTTTTCCAGCAGTGGATAGATTATGGCTGATGATGATGAATGAGAGTGACTAGAGCCTGAAAGCTTGGTGTTGAATGCTTACGTGTGCTTCGTGGTTAATTTATACTGTTTTTAATGTACAGTTCTCGTACATTGCTTCACATTTATTTTATAGATATTAGCTGTCTGTTTATAGTATATAAGATGGTAGTGATAAAATGCACTCTCAAATGAGCATACATTTTTTTATTCTGGAAATAAACTTCGATATAGATTTGCTCTCACACTTTAAATAGCCACAACATTATGGTTGTAGAATAATCAAGATAAACAGCTTTGTTATGTACGCAGTATATTTCCAACATTTGTATGTATTTATCATAACACATGTTATTGCCCAGCGTAATCACGCTGTGCGTGTATTTCATTAAAGTCTGATGTTGTCTTCATTTTTGTTGGCTACGTACAGTGCAAAAGAAGTTGAACATACATACAATATCAATCTGTTAGGATTTATTTCCATGACTTTGATCTTTAGCCACCTTAATTGAATCAGAAGCATCCTGTACCTGCCACCATTTATTGAAAGTACCCTTTCAATGGAATCGTATTGGTAGGGAAATTTCTGGAAAGATGAGCTGACATCACTGCCTTGGCCAGTCATCACATACTTTACTGCAAAAGCTGCACTTTTATCCGGTGCTGCTTACATTATAAAAGCTTTGTATAAGTATTTTAACTCCAATACAGAGGTGTACCTCAAAGCCTTTCATTTTATGAACGTTGGTGTGCATTATATTTGTGTGTGTAGATGTCACCATTATTTTGGGGAGTGGTGGCATAGTGGTTAGCGCACTGCTTTGAAACTGGCCACCCGAGTTCAATTTCTGCTCACGGTCAACACTAATGACGATTATCTGTACCAGTCCTGGGCCTCGCTTAGGTTGACTGCACCGCTAACATCAATTGTCCCAAAAGTCTGTTAAGGTTATACAGGGATCTTTGTCTCTTTTATTATTGCTATAAGGTTTCTATACAACTGTGCAATGTCAGCTGATAACACCGTGGAATCTTTTTCCCTCTGCTGTCATTCCACCTGATGGCTCATGTCACTTGGTGACATTTCCTTTGCAGGATGGAACACGCTGTCCGTTGCTTTTTAATGCTTTAAGCGACTCACTGTAATATTGCCGAGGACAAAAAGAGCTCTATTCCCTATGTATTTAAAGCTGCCGTGAGAATGTTAATAGGTGCTGGTCATAGTTTTAACCATTCTAATATATGTGTTGCTATGAGTGAAAGCATATATTTTTTCTCCACCTTATAAATTAATTGTTACTGTTAGATTTTAAGCTTCATTGTCTTTACTCTTAGGTTTTTTCGGTAAAGTCACGTAGGTAAAAAATAATAAAATAATAATAAATGAAAATAAATCAATTAAATCACGACGTTTTGGAGGCAACACAAGTCTTCGTCTTGAGGTGGGACCGTCACAGCTAAAATTACTGTTTCAAGTGAGATTTAGCTGTGACGGTCCCACCTGAAGACGGAGACTTGTGTTGCCTCCGAAACGTCGTGATTTATTAGATTTTTTTCCATTTATTTTTATTTTATTATTTTTTACCTACGTGACTTTACCGAAAAAACGTAAGAGTATAAATCCTTGCTGTCACGAAAGCTTCAAATCTAGAATTCATTGTCTTTTTCTATCCAAATTATACGATAATCTATTTTCATGAAAACCTGTGTGTGGTACAGCATACCCATTTCAGTGAAACCACAACCCGTTGGGCTATAAGGCTTCGAGGAGATGGCACGGCTGTAAGTGGGTTGTGATACCATCTGTACGGAATTGTCTGTTATCTGCCTCATGTGCGATTTATTTCTGATTATTCAATTCACCTTACAGGGGAAAACCATTTCATACAATTTAAATTTTCATTCTTTTCAATGCAGGATCCTCCTGAATTAGAATCTTGAGGC